CACTTTAATTCGGCGGTCGTCTAGCACCATTTGGTGAACTTTGGCGATGTTTTCGTCGGTAGTTGCAGTTTTTGGACGTCCCGAACGTTCATCGTCTCCCAAGCTCTTACGGCTACGTTTAAATTCAGCTGCCCAAAATTTCACTGTGGTAAATGATGGTGCAGAGTCCCCATACACAGAATCCAACACATCTTTGATTTGCGTAGGCGTATTGCCTTTCAAAAACAAATATTTAATGACAGCTCGATGCTCGATTTTGTCCATTTTCATAAAAACACTCACATCAACTCACTCAAACGACTGTTACATAACAACTGCGCGTCCAAAATGGCTGAAACTTTGGTGAGTAACTGTCAACAGATGAACAATGAAATTCGCTAGCTTTTATTTACGAGTGCTGCCATCTTCATGTTAAGGTCGGAAACTTTTCAGACCACCCTCGTATATCAAGCTACAAAATGGTGTATAAACTTCAAAAATAATCATACTTCTTTAAATGTTCAAAAAGTTTTTTTTTCATCTACTTTTAAAATACTATACAGGGTGTTTTTGAAATAAATGTGTTTCTTTTATTTTCAAAAAGTTTTAGTGATAGTTCATGTAATAAACGTGCTAGCAATAGTAAAAGTTAAGCAACTTCTGTTTTCGAGAAAATTAATTAAGAAAATGAACCATAAATGTAAGCTGACCCTGTGCACCTTGTGCACGTGCGTTGTATGTTGCAGTATTACTTAGCCAGCGTATAAAATATTTATTGATCAAGAACCAGCAAACATGATGTTAATGTACGGATGATGTCAGTGTCACAATTTAAATGAGGTTCGTCGTTTTGCCTATTTGCACGTATGTGTACTAATTTAAACCGTCTTTTGGAAGTATGTTTATTAGCACATGGAAACAACTTTGAATAATTTTTGTGCAGCATATCGTCTATTGGTAAGTAATTCGTGTATTCTTTTAATTTTTGTGTTACTTTTAAACGGGATTTGAATAAATTCCAGCATTTTCGAACACAAAACTTAAACAGTGAAAATCGCCATCAGCGCTTTCGCACTGAGGCGCGCGGCAGCTTCGATATCAAAGGTACAGCTAGCTGCCGCACCAGAGACGGCTTTAAATTTGTTTAAACCTTCATGTGATTTTTTTTCAATTTAAAACGTACCCAACCATCGGATGCTTAATAAAAGTTGCTTATTTTCGTGGCCTCTGTCACCATTTTCAAGGAACGCACTTATTTCAGAAACACCCTGTCTTTTTCACCGAAATAATCACCATACTTACTTGAATTCAAGTTAAAAAAGACTGTTTTATAAATAAATTTTGTTTATATATTCTATTAATATTNCCACGTTTAAATTCAGCTACCCAAAATTTCACTGTGGTAAATGATGGTGCAGAGTCCCCATACACAGAATCCAACTCATCTTTGATTTGCGTAGGCGTATTGCCTTTCAAAAACAAATATTTAATGACAGCCCGATACTCGATTTTGTTCATTTTCATAAAAACACATCAACTCACTCAAACGACTGTTACATAACAAGTGCGCGTCCAAAATGGCTGAAACTTTGGTGACTAACTGTCAACAGATGAACAACGAAATTCACTAGCTTTTATTTACGAGTGCTGCCATCTTCATGTTGAGGTCGGAAACTTTTCAGACCACCCTCGTATATCAAGCTACAAAATGGTGTATAAACTTCAAAAATAAACATACTTCTTTAGGAGATGTTCAAAAAGTTGTTTTTTTTTCATCTACTTTTATATAATACTATACAGGGTGTTTCGGGAATAAATGTGTTTCTTGACAAGGGCACGAAAATGAGCAATTAAAGACAGGATTCAACTTTTATTTTAACGTGCTAACAACAGTAAAAGTTAAGCAACTTCTGTTTTCGAGAAAATTAATTAAGAAAATTAACCATAAATGTAAGCTGACCCTGTGCATCTTGTGCACGTGCGTTGTATGTTGCAGTATTACTTAGCCAGCGTATAAAATATTTTCTGATCAATAACTAACAAACATGATGTTAATGTACGGTAATGCTTAATAAAAGTTGCTTATTTTCGTGGCCTCTATCACCATTTTCAAGTAACGCACTTATTTCAGAAACACCCTGTCTTTTTCACCGTAATAATTACCATACTTACTTGAATTCAAGTTAAAAAAGACTGTTTTATAAATAAATTTTGTTTATATATTCTATTAAACTACAATAACCGGTGACGAACAAAATGCTAAGCTTCTATCAATTAAGAGAAATATTTATTTTAAAATGGTACATCGTTTAGGAAATATGCAATCAATTAAATGAAATAACAATACTCTTCTTCAACGTGCTGAAATCGTGAACAATTTTTTTAATGATAATTGTGTATATAGTATTCCATGGCCAGTCTATTCACCTGACCTTAACCCCATAGAGCATGTGTGGCACGTTATTAAAAACTCATTTATAACTCATCGTCAGTCACTACAGAGTATTGATCAGTTAGAGAAAGCTGGCAATAGTTGCTACAAGATACATATAATTAATAATTGTCATTTGTCACATAATCAATAACATGTGCTGGCGAAGCCAGGTGGTAATTACTGGTCCAAATTAATATTAATTACTTTGTTCTTGTATACAGGGTGTCCCAGAAATAAAGTTGTACATGCATTTAAATTACCAAAAGCATCAATTTATATTTTATTTTTTTATTTTTTCAATTTATTACTTTAACTAATAAGATCTGATAGAGAATTAAGTATTATACATTGACCATTGATGTTTATTCATTTATAAACACGTAATTTATTGACTTACAATTAGTGTAAATAATAAATCAGAGTATCAAACTGCTAGTCAATCATAAAGTGGAAGTTGTATTAGGTATGTATTTTATTTATCTTGAGAATTATCAAAATATATTAATTTTAAAACTGAATAATTCATTATGTGACTTACAGAGAAGTGATTTCCTATCAGTTTCATGAGATACCTAATTCAAATGTGTTAATAGCTAAAAGCCGGTTTTAAAGACAACAATTATATGTAAAAAAAAAACATAACTTACCTTCAAAACTTTTAATATCTAAAGTGCAACATTTTCAACGCAACTCTGTATATGGAATCTCAAATTCGAATTATCCAACTCTTCAAGAGTAGGTAACTCATCACCGACTTTATTTTCTCTTTAAAGAGGTTAGTTAAAATCAAACGGTGTCGTATCGAATATAGTTTTCCCATAAACTTACCTTAGTAAGTGAACTTGCTGAATATAATGAACAATAAATTAATAAAGAGATAACTATAGCTTTAATCTTTATTTAAACGTTTATCAACTAACTCCAACCTAAGTTTTAGAACTAACATTAACAAGCGTTGACGAGGTTGCTTATATTTTAACACAATATACATTACGGTTAGAGTGAAAAAAAGGGGAGATATTTTTATTTTTCATTTTACGAGAAAAATGCATTCTTGACTAAAATTTTTGCTTGTCTTTAAAATGTAGTTGGCATGGAGAACTTTCATCTTGCACGTACAGGGTGATCAGAAAATCGGTGAATATAAAAATCGTTCAAGAATAAACTGCCTTTGTTTTTAACAATACAGAAATATATTGTTAAGAAAAGTTGCTTGGAATTGAAATCTATATTATAATTTCAATTTGTGTATGAATCAGCGTACTTTGATAGAAACGCTCAGAAAAACATTTTTATTGTTCATTTTACGAGAAAAGGGCACTGTTGATTAAAATTTTTGCTCGTCTTTAAAATGCAATTGGAATGGAGAATAAAAAAGTTTGACAACTACCGTCATAATGAAAAGTTATAGGGCTTTTGAGTAATAGGGACGGTTTTTCTTAATATGCTTACGCTGCAGGAAAAACGATTTTTATATTTACCGATTTTCTGATCACCCTGTACATGCAAGATGAAAGTTCTCCATGCCACCGCATTTTAAAGACAAGCAAAAATTTTAATCAGGAATGCCCTTTTCTCGTAAAATGAAAAATAAAAATATTGTCCCTCTTTTCCACTCTAACCGTGGACATACTGTATATAAAATAATGGTGGTAGTGGTGTATTTATACAGAGTGTAACTTTAAACAAGGGTCATATTTATACGGATACTACTTTTGACTTTTAAAGACACATTAGTTTGTTTTTCAAATCCCAATATGATTTTTTATTTTTTTTTTGTTCTTTTTTTATTCTCCGCCACTTGACATGCTTGTGGAATCTCAAACATTCGCACACACCAGCCGCGAGCAAACACCAGTCGGGAGCCTGACATGCATAGTTGTCTAATCTATTCTTTCTCGATTCTAGACATTTTTCTTCAGAAAATTACGTATAAACCTAACAATGACGACACACAAACACACTACATTATATATACACAAGAAAATTAAACTATTTCTATTACATAATGTAATAAAATGAAGCGGACCGTTTGTTTTTTAAGCGCCTGGCGCCTTGTTGTCATATCACATCAGGTGTATTTATATTATGAAAAATATTTATAAACTAACACAAAGCTTTAGAAATACTTTATTAAAAATTTGAATTGGTTTTAAAAAATATTGTCTCTAACAGATTGGTAAGATTTTTTTTACGTTTTGTCGCGTATGCTTTATAAAAAAGCAAACATATGTTTATTATAAAACAAAATTAGCTTTACTTACAATTAGTAATTATACCTATACCCCCATACTAGCTAATATTTAAAAAATCATGCAAAAGATTTTAAGTTTAGAGAAAACTCGAAAATTTTTTTAATGACATTGACATAAAAACCGGGACTTTGTCACAAAATTATAAAATCATACCAAAACAATTCTGTAACAGAATTGTTTCCCATCGCAATTTTGCTGTCTGCCACATCATCAAACTCATACAGATGGTTTAAAAAGGCACAGCAGGCAACACTGATAAGTGCGCACATACAACCTCATTCGGGTGCTGCCCAGTAGCGGCGTAGACACCAGTTAGTTCAGGTAAAAAAAACTAATTAAAACTCAACTATTTATTTTATATAAAAAATAATAATTTCACGTTAGTATTCTGAGGAACACGTACCCCTAAAAAACTGACCCCCGTTTAAAGTTACACCCTGTATAGTGGGCAGTATTTCACACTCTAAGTAGTTGGAATTATTGGTACTTCCTCTCTAATCCGATTTGATTTCGTTCATCCTAAAACCGATTTTTCGTCCCCGATCTAGGTCATAAGGGTGTTGAAGGGTCAGGGCGATCAGTGGGACAACAGGGCCAGATCCAGGGGCGTGACGGCTTCTTTTTCCCTCAACGGGATCGGGCTTGTCCCGGAGGAGGCCCCGGATTTGTACCAGGAGAACGAGGAGTTAAAGGTGAGCTCATGACATGCAAATAGACACTTTAAGAGACTTGATTACATCCTGAATATCTCCAAAAAAAACTAGTAGTCGCAAAGAAAGTTGCAGTTACATAAAATATTTAGAATTAGTTGTATTTTGCTTATTTTCCAGACATTTTGAAAATGTACCCAAGAAACAAATTTGCTTCGGACTGTCGCACATTCTACATTGTTTCATATAGACATATCCTTTTATTGGCTATTTTTATACATATATGAACAAAGCAAGCGCAGTGATTTACGTGACCTTAACGCTTATAACACTTTGTATCAACCTAGCATTAAAGACATGTTTCAAATTATTAATTAAATTGGTTTTGTTGTTTTACCAATTTTTTTAATAATCTGCTCTATCTTTGCAGGAGGAAATCCAGAAGCTGGCGGCCCAAATAGAGTTCATGAAGATAGTCCATATGGAAATGAACAACAGACACGTGAAGCCAAAGTCTGGCGGTTATTTTACGACTCTAAACGCCCCAACTGTTGTCCACAGTCCTCTTACCAAGCAAGGCTGCATCTTGAGTCAGAGCAAACCGCCAGAGGAACTGTGACACCCTCTGAAGGGGGGTTGCGAGGAATGGTTTCGGTTGAGCTTACGCAACAGGGATAGTTTGAAGGAAAGTAGAACACCGGTATTTGTGTAATTTTTAATGGTTGTTATAAAAAATAGTTCTAGTCGCAACTCTTGATTTAGAAATGGAATTTTTGCTTCGTATGAAGGCATTTGAATATTGCTCAACTTTAAAGCATTTCTCACAACCGGTATTATAAAATATACTAAAAATTTTATCCATAATATGGTGCAAATTATTTTTATAAAAGACGATTTTTATTAAATTTGATTACATTTTGGTTTTTCCAAATGTAGGTATATGAAGAATAAAATATATAGGACATATTGATAATTAAATTCGATTTAATTTTTATATGAAGCACTCAAATTATTCTTCAAAAATTTAGTAAAAGCCAAAAAATAAAACCAAATTGATTCGATTGTTAATTTAAATATAGTGTGTAACATAATCGCATGTCAACCATAAAGGAGTGTTGTCCTCATGAAAATTTAAGAATATTTTCCTCTTGTTTTTGATCTATTGTGTCTTAGATTTTTAAAAAACGTTATATCTGTAAATATATTTAGAACAAACGAAGATATTGAAGCAAAATTAAATGTGCACAATACATGAATAAGATGGCATTAATGGTTGGTTTATAAAAAAGTATTAGTCCTAACTTAGCCGTAACTTAACCTTAATCTTAGTCCTAAAAAGTTAAATGTACAGAATGTAATGTATCGGTTTATAAAAATCCCTAGTCGTAAGGAGGTCTTAAGACATGACCTTGAAAGTTCGCATCTTTTAATTTTTCTAGGATTAAGACTAAGATCTGAGAAGTGCGCATGCACAAGTATTGTATTTCGTAGCATAGTGGGCTCCTGTCTTTGTCTATGGTGGTCGCCAATACGCCATTACCATAGTAATAGGTTATATTTTTCTTTTCACTCACCAACAAAACAAATAAAATAACTATCACAGAATAATAAACAAGTATTATGCTGTGATATTACTAGCCATGCGCGTAGTCGAATCGCTCATTGGTTAATCTTAATAAAATTAGGACCACACATTGTTTTTATAAACGTGTACCTATTCTTAGAACTAATACTAAGATTAGTGTAAAGGTTAATACTAAGACTAAGACTAAGTTAGGACTAATACTTTTTTATAAACCAACCATAAATGAGAAAAAATTAAGTCTTGGCTCAAACTAGTAACGTAGTTATGAGAGGTTAACCAAACTACTGGAAAAAATTGTTTTGAGCTGTGACTAAGTTTTTTTACCTTATTTTAAATATTAAAGCTGATTTAAATAAATTCAAAATATTTTCTTAAAAATTCTGTCGAGTCAAACAAAATAAAATTACTTGATAGAAAAACAAAGATTATATTATGGAAAACAACTAAGCTACGAGGTGCGTACTCTATCTAGCACTAACTAACGACACTTATGGTTGGTTTATAAAAAAGTATTAGTCCTAACTTAGTCTTAGTCTTAGTATTAACCTTTACACTAATCTTAGTATTAGTCCTAAGAATAGGTACACGTTTATAAAAACAATGTGTGGTCCTAATTTTATTAAGATTAACCAATGAGCGATTCGACTACGCGCATCGCTAGTAATATCACAGCATAATACTTGTTTATTATTCTGTGGTAATGTCATTTTATTTGTTTTGTTGGTGAGTGAAAAGAAAAATATAACCTTTTACTATGGTAATGGCGTATTGGCGACCACCATAGACAAAGACAGGAGGTCACTATGCTACGAAATGCAATACTTGTGCATGCGCACTTCTCAAATCTTAGTCTTAATCCTAGAAAAATTAAAAGATGCGAACTTTCAAGGTCATGTCTTAAGACCTCCTTACGACTAGGGATTTTTATAAACCGATACATTACTTTCTGTACATTTAACTTATTAGGACTAAGATTAAGGTTAATACTAAGACTAATACTTTTTTATAAACCAACCATTAGAGTGTATATAACCTCAAATTTATAAATCTTAACCTAAAACAAACACACTCAATTTTTTCTAAACCTGCGAGTATAAATCCATAAAAATGGTACTTTTGAGTGTGCAACCAATATTTTTGCATAATTTTAACTAAAATTCATAGGAAGTTGACCAGGAAACCTGAAAACCTAACCTCAAATCCAAAATAATGAAGTAAAAAACCCACTAAAACAATATATTTTCTTCAACAAAGAATACGATTGTTTCAAAAAGACATTCTGCAATATATGTTTGTGCATACCTAAAACTTAAATCCATAAAACGTAACCTTAAAGAACTAGAATCTAACCTCAAATGTTTAAAATTTAAGCTAAAAATAAAAAAAACAAACAAACCAATATTTTTAGCTTCAAACATTTGAGATTAGTTTAAATAACAAAATGGATTTCATAGGTCTAATGACCCTTAGAGCGTACTATATATAATCAGTTACTATAACAAGATAGTCACTGATATAATTCAATAAACAAAGAAATCTAAATAAAAAATTTAGCTAAATTTGGAACGAATACATTGAATATGAATTTTTCGAGACAAAACGTCTGAACCTGGTTTGCGAGTCATGAAGGCTTGCAAAAAATGTAAAATTTCGAGTCCTACTTAAAAAAAACGAAGTTGATGATGGTCCTGGAGAGACGAAACGTTACATACAAAGATTGATTAATGCCAATTGATAGAGAACAAAAAGTTGCCATGAGAAAGTGTTCTTTTTTCTACATCACCTCAAACAAGGCTAAAATGAAACAAACGGATTTAAAAAATTTCGGTTTTTTCCAAACATTTCGAAACCTAATCATGTTAGCCTTGATTTTTAAGAGGCATAATGTTGGTGCCCTGATTATGCCCCCACAATTTGATTTCATTTGATAAGATTTTTAGGAAGTTTTTTTGAATTTGTTTGAAATAGCTCAGTGCCTATCTTTAAAATAAAATAAAAATTCAACACTTAATAATAAAAAACATACATAGAGAAGAGTTTTTTTTCTCGCATGTACTAAGATTACAAAATTTGACAAATTTCTTTATATAAAAATATATTCTTAAATTTTGATAAGGAAAACGCCCCTTCTGTTGTTGGATAATCGAACTTGAAACTATACAAATCACTTCAAATTTTCAATAGATGTTATAAAATCTGTTAGGTTGTCGAAGAAAGTACAAATTTTGTTTCAATATTAGAAAAAATGATGTAATAAGATGTCAATATGCAAGTTTAAGCGTTATACATACATATACAGGTGGTAAAAAGTGTATCGGTCCCCAAAATGAATTAAAAATTTGCTCTTAAAGACAATAATAAGTAAGGAGCACCTCCAAATTCAAACAAAAATAGGCAAAATATATAGCTTCTTAGTCGATACTTTTACCACCGTGTATGTCAGACTCTTACAATGTTGAGTGTATAAAAAATCTCTGACTGATTTTTATATAGATGTTTAGCTATGTGCTTCAAAGTGTGATAAAAGAACTAGGCGTTTACTAGAGAAATATAGTTAATTGTAAAATAGCATACAACTTGACAAAATGTTTGGTGTGGATAAATGTTGAATTTAAAATGTCAATACATAAAGTAAGCAGTTTATTTTCGCAGCTGTTTGAAAAGTTGTAGTGTACGGTAAGCTATGAAATTATCACCACCACAAATTTTCACACTCGTTGAATATGTTACATATAAACTCCATTACTGTTGAAATAATATTTTTTTAAAAGCAATTATTAATATACGGACATCTTTAAATGCAAATTAAGTGTTTATATATGAGAATTAAAGATATATTTTTCCCATACATACCCCAATACTATTTTAAAACAGTTTTTTGTGTTTTTTTTTATCGTATTTATGGGATATCTAAAACCTTATTTGTGATAGCTAATAAGACATAGTCGGTGAATTCGACAATACTCGTTTTCAAAATTTTGCTGAGTACTAGGAATTACTATAGGAAATAAAATAAAATAGTTAGATCTGTTTCCCGTCACGACAGTTATTAAATTTATATTATTCTCCTTGCTCATTGATTTAAAAAAAGTTCAATGGCATTTGTAACGGATACTGTCTCAGAGACATCACAGGTTATCTAAATTCATGAAAATCAGAGTTTGAAAAAAGTTGACTAAATGTGAAATAATTAAAATCTGCATTGAAACAAATTATTTTCATTTCGCTTTATTGAAATATGTAACGATATATCTATATACTACTACGTATCTTAACTTATAGTTATAAGAAAAATGTAAGGTAGTGTTACTTACGTATATACCTGGTAAATACTGAGTGTTCTGTAGGAAATAGGCTAAATTTAAATGTCAATATTAATAATTAAAAACATACCTAGGACATATCTGAAACACGAAATACAAGTTTTGAGCCCTCCAAATGAAATTTATAAATAAGTTTTTATGAATTTCTACAACAGTTTTGTGTTTCAGATATATTAGATAGTAGGAAGTTTATAAAATTAAGAGAGAATACTCTACTGCGTAAATAAAATATTTATAAAGAAATGCTTCGTATCAAAACAATTTTTTTCCAATGTATGTGATTGTTTATAGGATAAGATAATTATTGGTTTATTAATTTCAGTTTCTATTCCAATTTTGAATACATTCCCTTTTACACATGTAACATTACCCGTTACAAATGCCATTGAATATTTTAAAACTGTTTATTAATGGTAATAAATTTCCCTTTTATATAAAGACTTTTTTGGTATAAGTTCAACTTTCCCTGAGAGATGTATTATATATTCGTATAAAAAAATGTTAAATAAATGTGTTTATAAAAAGACTACAATTATTTTCCTCACCTACATATAGCTGAAGACCATATTTTAATTTCTTTTAATTTACAATTATTGTGTACCTCTTGCAGTTTTAGTGAAGAATATTTTTTTTTTTAATTTTTATTCATGTACAAGTTAAATGTGATTTTAGAATAACGTAAAAAAATTTATTTAAAAATAAAATTATAAATATAATTAATACAAGTGGACCACACATTCATATTATCGTGACTCGAACACTCCTCATTTTAGTGAGACAGGTATACTTTTCCAGGCCATTAACTGAAAGATACAACACTGGGATCGAAAGACCCAGTGAAAGGCGATCCTTCAGCGTTCCACGCCTTCTTCAATTTTTCCTGAACAATAATTTCTTCTGAAGTCGGCAAACCAAGTCGTTTTCTTTCTTGGTTCCACTGCAACTCCTCAATCTTTGCTTGAGCCTCTTCTGGTAAATCTTCATAAGGTCTGGTACAGTCTATTTTAGAAATGTCCATTTCTGGCTCAGATTTAATTAAGCAGTTCCACCACACGTCCTGACATTTATCTAGGTGAATTTCCACTTTTCTTCCATCTAACGACCAAATCATATCATTCGCTTTACATTTTTGACATAAATCACCATCAAGCAAATAAGTACCATCGTTTAATTTCACTGAAATTTGGTTAGGTGTTATGGTAACATCCAAGTCTTTTTTGGTAACATTCTCAGGGACTAATACTACAATATTAACTTCCAAAATTGTCTGCGACCAACAATAATTGTCGTGTACAGCTCCGTTATAAAATTCTGATTTACTAAATGTATCATGTGGTTTAGTCTCCGAAATATACAAGTCATCAGTGGTAGATGTTACTTCGTTCATTTCTTCTGAATTTGTTACAACAGTTTCTTCTGTAGCAGTAGGAATGTCAATGTCATTATAAACAGCTTCAGTCGGCTGAGGTTTGCATTTATAAAATGTGTGCCTCACTAGTTTTTCGGCTAATCCTTCAGGTAATCCAACGGCTGCATTTGGTTCATTAGCAACAATATAGAAGTCAGTTCTAAAAAAGTCTCATTAAATATCCCTTAATAAAAATTTCTCAACCACAACTACCTTCTCTGAAGGAACCCAAACACTTCAGCGAGGAAATTGGGTAGAGTTTTACACTCTTTTAGCATTTCAAATAACACATTATCGTGATTGCTGCTCGTGTCACACATTTTGATTGTCTCCTACACAAAAATTTTACCACTGTTACCTAGTTACCACTTTTGCAATTGCAACAGTTAACCTCGAACATCGAACACTCTAGAAAACAAACAACATAACCTTTAATTTTTAGAACTTATGAACTACAAGACCACTAGAACTACTGGTTTGAAGAGCAAAATGTCAACTAATCAAAATTTCATTAAATATTGGGCGTATTCCACCATATTATTTAATGTTACTATAACTGCTCTCTTATAGGCTTTCTGTTTGTCAAAATTTATAACCATAAAACATCACAGAATATCGAGTTATTAGGTTACAAGTTAGGAACTCAAATTTTCTGCGTGCTTCTAATTGCTATTACTTTTAGTAAAACGAAAGCAGCTCACATCGTAAGATTCGTAAGCGCCATTGGAATTGGAAAACGCCATTAAATGCAATTGAGTTATGATCGTGAAAGAGGGAAATTCAAATGACAGTTTGTATTTTAATGAAAATTTAAACAGAATATTTAATTTTATCATAATGTAAAACGTGTGTTAATTGAAAAAAATATAAGGAACAGTATAAGATATGAATTTAAATCAAAAGCAGTCCTTAAATATGAAACAACCAAAGAGAGGACCACATTTGAAGTTTGATTTGCAGTTCCATGTCAAAGGTTAGATTGGGACAGGCACCGGATTCAATGATAATAAATAATCCGTTTAAGAATATATAAAGAAACATTAGCCATTCTGTTACGTTCCTCGAAGAGTAAAATTTGACAACAAATAGGGTATAGATAAAGATAATATTTACTTATTTAGATATAATTTACATATAAATTATGAGTCGTTTAAGGAAAACTTTTTGGATTTTCATATTAATTTTCTTCACAAAAGTTTATTCAGAAACTGAAGAAGACCATGGAGTCAAATACGCCGACAAATGTGAAGGTAAGTTGAGATTGGAATGTGAAAAACGAAAAAAGAAAAATTGTTAGGCTTTGAGGTTATTATTTTATCATAATTTAACTATCCGGTTTCAATTATTGAAATCTTTTTAGTAGTTTACGAAAATTTGTCCCGAATATTTCAATTACCATCTCTAACCTCGTTATTTTTATAGTTTTAGACACGGTATGTTTAGATCACAAATTAATCTTTGTAAACCTTATTTGTAATCACATTAATGTTACTTTCAGTATGCAAGATATTGGCTACAGAGCTTCAAGGCCGCTTGGAAGAAACAGGCAAGACGAACGAAGTTATAGAGACAGGTTACGCCGTTGACGATGTGAAACCGAAAAAGAAAAAAGAGTACAGAAAATCGGAGCTACGTCTTGTTGAATCTCTAGAAGGAGTTTGTGACAGAATTTTGCAATACAATATACATAAGGAAAGACAGGACAGTACCAGGTTCGCTAAGGGCATGAGTCAGACGTTTCAGACGCTACATGGCTTGGTTGATAAAGGGGTTAAAGTTGAACTCGGCATCCCCTATGAGTTATGGGACAAGCCGAGTGCCGAGATCACCAATATGAAAACACAGGTAAAATCTTTCCCTTACGTTATCACAAATGTTTATCAAACTCTTTTACTTTCAGTGCGAGACCCTCCTCGAACAGAATGAAGGGGATATAGAAGATTGGTACTTCCACCACCAAGGCAAAGAGTCCTTGAAAAAATATTTATGCGAGGATCGGGCACTGAAAAATCAGGACTCTAAATGCTTGTATGAGCAGCTTAAGGGAGATAAAGGTAGTAAAAAACCTTCTAAAAAACAAGAATTGTGATTTCTTTTTTTATGAGAATCTCTTAGGACCTAAATCCATTTACGCCAAATTTAAAACTAATAAAAAACTGTTCAGATCATTAAATTTTATATTGTTTATTAATCGCCAAAATTTAGTAGTTTAAATCAGTCAATTTTAAAGGATGTGGGAAATGTTAATATTGCTATTTGTTCCGTAATCTTTAGGATAGACAATTTGAGTGTGACTAGAAATATGAAAGTAAACTACAATTTGTACGCTATGTATTAAATAAAACTACAAAAATAGTTGGTCTGTTAGCTGTTTTGTTTTTCCTGTTCCCTCTGCGCTTTAGTCTTCCACACAGGCTTCACTTTTCCTCTCAACTCCCTCATCCTTTTCATTTCCTCTTGGAAGTCTGCGTGTTCGTCTCTGTACAAGCCGTAATACCTGAGTTTCATCATTAACTTTCCAGTTTCTACGTGCCTCGGGTAATACGAATGAACTTCTTTCCTTAAATTCAACGGTTGCTCGCTGAACAGTTTCACAACTTTCATAGATTTAGATGATGTAGGACGAGCCACCTCGCCAAAGATTCTGTTGCTTAACCGGTTCATCCGTCGGGCATATTCCGTAGTTTGTTTAGCTAAATCTATGTATTTGACATATTTACTCATTTTTTTTTAGAAATTAATGTCGCAGAAACACAAATTTGAATATCACATAACCTTCAATTCCAGTGAAAGTGAGGTTGAGGTTAGATTTTGGCCACGGCCCTAGAGTCTAGCTACCAACTGCAGATTCAATTCTGTGCTACCAACCCCATAAACACAAAAATAATACCCATTGGAACGCCCAACTAATTGTAAGGCGCCAAATTTGAATTAACAAAATAACTGCACTTTTAAATTTGGCATAGAGAGATTTCTGGGAATGCTGAATTAGAGTATACTATTAAGTTCTAGATTTAAAAAAAATAATTTTTAAGAGTCGGCACCTTTTTTAATTTTAGAACCGGAAACTTGACTAAAATCGAATTTAGTTTTATTTAAAGATGTGCCGCGGCCATGTCAGCTGGACATGTCTATTGGACATGTCGTGAAAAGTGGACATGTCTTGAGAACACATTTCAAGATTGAAAATTTGTATGCGCATGCGCGAAATTATTTGTTGCATTCATAATTCTCGCAAAGAAATTTTGAGATTGGTACATGTAAAATTAAAGATATTTAGCCATTTTCTTGTAGTTCTGTTGGTAATTATTTAACTGAAACCATAGAAAACTTAATTTTAACACTATATTTTGGAGGCCATTAACAAAAGAAGAAGAACACTATATTTTCTTTGATTCTGACATTTTAAAAATATAACCTCTTTTATATGTCCATATTTTATTATTTTTGGTAAAGTTAACGATTAGTAAGTGGTAATCAGTCGATTCTTATTTTAATATTTAATACATAAATAGTTTATAAACGAAGTATGACCCCAAAATGAACAGTTTGAATATATTTTTTGAACTGAGTAAAAATCTTTATAAATAACCTGCCAAAAACAATTTTTAAGAATTTGGAAAAACATTTAAATAAGTATAGTGGCTGTCCGGAGAAAATTAGGAACCGGTTTATAAAGAAGTCTAAAGGTAGGTAATAAGTAAAATATATTGACACCATATTCTTTAGAATAAAAGTAATATTTTGCTTTGTGTACCCTCAAGCAGTGACCTGTGAAAACATCTAGTCACTCTTAGGTGCCTTATTAGATTCAAGGTCAAAAGTACTTTTCCCAACATATCCGGACATTTCATCGACACGTCTGTAACACACTTTTCCGAAAAGTGCCCATCTCTAGTTTTATTTAGTGGCTCCATAGAAACACGATGTGAACACAGTAAAGCAACGATAATTTTGGTAATTGTTTATTGACATTAAAACAAGGAAAAAGTATACTCAACACAATAATCATAGTAATAATAATAATACACGCAGGATCAACTAAATTTACGTGTAATCCGTGAAGTCTTCCATATGCCTCTTATTCCTGAAGCTAGGATCCTCTGTGGGGTACATACTCTCCTCTTTCTTCTGCTCCTGCAGAATTTTGTTGCGAATGTTTTTAATCTTCCTGAGACGCTCCAGCCAATTGGAAGCGTACGGATCGCTGGAACGGGTCTTCAACGACCTCACAACCAGAGACGCCAACTGCCAAGAAATAAAATATAGCTTAAGACTTTTTAGTGACGTTTTTAAAGCAACATCCTTACGTTTGCGTGTAGCGCTAGCTGCCTCGCTAAGATAGCCACGTTCTGGTCCGACACTATTTTCGGCTCGCTCAGTGCGATCAATTCCTTAAGTTCGTCCTTGACTTTCACCACCACCCGATTCGTGTTGTGGTCTAAGGGCTGGATGATGATGGCGGCGAAATTGAACTGGCCCTAACGAATAAAAGTATATTACGACGATTTTTAACTCACTTCGTTCACCTACCTTTATAGTGTTTATGTTGTACTCTTCCCCACTTTCGTTATAAACGATACTGACGTAGTTGTTCCCGATGTGTAACTTCTTGTTGTTGCAATTCGTGTCATATTCTTTGTTCGGCATCATGGTGGCAACGTGAAAAGTAACGCGGATGACGTCGTCTTGCCAGATGTACGCAAATTTTCCGTCCTCCCCGCTCTGATCTAAACCCCCAAGGAAAAACACCTAGAAACAAAAACGTTAAATAAAACCTTGAATTGGCATGGGATTTATACAAAAAAAAGTGAGACGTCAGTCGGACTGGCTAGATTTAAGCCCTTAAAAAAACCATAAAAAAACTAAATTTAATTTATAAAAAGTACCTAATAAACAAATAAATGAAGTGGGACTAAAAGTAACACACTCAACACACTATAAAAAATAATAAAACTAAGTTTATTTTTAAAAAGATCGGACCTGATATCTGACAATAACTGATTCATAAATTTAATACCCATGTAAAGTGGTGATTTTTCATATATAGTCCAAGCATTCTATAACGGCCTAATGTTAAATTTGCAGAAATTATTACCTGGACAAAAAAAATATGACCGTATAGGAAATTAAATTTTAAATTGTGTTTCGTGTTCTTTAAACTCGATCCAAAATGTCGAACATGGTTAAAAATAATCGCAAAGTTGCAAAAAACGGTTTTTCTAAAATAACTAAAAAAATATAGCACCGATCAAAAAATTTTAAATGGGAAAGTTGTAAGTTTTAAAAAGATCTATTGAATGATTTTTTGTAAGTATCGATTGCTTTGTTACTTTTCGAGATTTATCGAAAAAACCGTTAAAAATCTACTCTTTCCTCGTGTTCTATAACTTGTTTACATTAACGTTTCCTTACTTGCTATTTGCTGCAGAGATAGCCCACTGCAATCCGCCATTTTGTTTTTTTTGAGACATGGAAATGCAATTTCAACCTCGGGAATCGAAAGAGCATACTCAAAAATAGTAAGATAAGGAAGTTTGGTCAATATATTTTAAATTTTTTGATTTGTCAGTGAAGCTTGAACATGAGTTACAAATACCGTGATTTTGGACGTTAATGGGTTAAGGGGGGAAACCACATTAGGAAGCTTATATTCAAGCGTTTCTCATGAATTTTTTTGAGTGGGATTAGAATTTGATCATACTTTGACATTATTTTATCAATATTTTGAAGTATATTTACAAATTTTTTCAAGTCATTTGTGTTGAAAAAGCCGTAGTTAATGGGCTATTGTCCACCGAAGGTTGTCATTCGAATTGTTTGTTCACAGGAAATGTGGAGGTCGCAATTCTGATGTGAAAGGAAAATGTTTGTTTTGCTGCATTATTAACATGTTTTTTAAGAATATGAACCTCATTGCGGATAAAAAAATTATGAAAATTGAAGTCTAGACATGTGTTTGAAAAAAATGACTCGATTTCCACCATTTAATTTTTTTTTTAATAAAAAAACCCTTAAAATTACAATATCATCCCAATTGTTGATTCATGTTCTTTGTTATTTCATAAAGAAACACTCTTTCAATTTTCATAACGGTCGTTCATAACTTTTTGAGCTAGAGTTCCCGTGAATAAAAAAATGCTACTTTGAGAAAAATGCGCTTGAAAATTGAAAAAGTGATCAATAATGTAGAGAGCTTCCTGATCAATAAATCAGTAATTCCAGCACCATATAACAGTTATTTTTCTTCCTTATAACCATCATTCTGAGCTTACATCTGTTCTTTTCTTGCTTAAGAGGGCTCTATAGCAAATAGGCAACCAGCAATACATTTTTATAGATTTTATTACACAGTTTGTCCAAATATGAATTAATGCACAAATAACAGACTTTCCTCCATTCTAACGCAGATTTTCCATAAAATGGACTTTGTTTGAAACTCAAATTGCTGTTTGTTGTAAAGAAATTTGTAATTTGCGCTTTTGAACAAGCGGTATCGTATATTACAGTCGCGTCACAATAAAATCGTGCGCATTACTTTCGAAATGAATTCTGTATACTTGTATGTTAATAAAGACAATATTTTAAGGAATTAAATATTTTACCCCTTCCCTGTTTATATACGAATTATATGTTTATGCATATAGAAATAAGAAAAGCATTGACATTAACAAAGATAAGTACAACTATAACACGAGACATGCTGGTGATCTTAGAGTGCCGTTTGCCAAACTAAAACTACCTCTGAATGCTCCTTATTGCTTGGGTCCAAAATGTTTTAATCGTTTACCAAACGATGTTAAATACTGTGTCTGTAAATATTTTTAAACGAAAGTTAAAGCTCGATAAATATTTTTACAGTGTGTCAAGTTTTTAAATTTTTAAATTGAAGTTTTTTATTTTTTTTTTTTGTTAGATTAAGTGTGTGACGAATCCTATACATTATTATTATTATTATTATTATTATTATTATGTGCCACATGCATTATTAAATTATACATCATGGTGAAAGAAATGACAGATTATGTAGAAGAGAAAAGTAATTTTCAATAAAAAAAAATAATATTTCACATTTTTACTTGGTTGATCCACTTTAAATATTTCCGCAAGATGTACCTTGGTGTATAATTTCCTATTTTAAAATGTTTTAAACAGGCAATATTATTAACGATATTGCAGGAAATCAGTACTCTGTAGATTAAAAACACCAACACTCACAATATCTAACATATTAGTAGAAACGCTAGCTATCTTTTCGCAGTATTTACAAATTAGTAGGTCGCTCTCTGTCAGTAGATACAAAATAAAGCTTTGTGTCAGTAGGCATTGAGTGGCAGTGACATTTAAGATACAACACACTTTGTAGGTTATATTTCACCTCTGCAACATTATCGTCAATACTTGACTTTAAAATTCATTTTTCAGAAGAATAATATGAACAGAGTGTCACGAAAAGTTAGTTGATGCTCGGCAACTTCCTTTAAGCAGGATTTAATGTAAATTCGTGCAATTTTCTTATTGTTTAAAAATGCATAGCAATATTCAGAACCTTAGTTTAGCGCTGAGCACGGTTAGTCACATTATTGTAATAGTTGAGCTTCGTGTGTGTAATTTTTATAAATGGAATTATGCGTAAGAGGGCTCTATAGCAAATAGCCAACCAGCAATTCATTTTTCTAGATTTTTTGTTACACAGTTTGTCTAAATATGAATCAATGCACAAATAACAGACTTTCCTCCATTCTAACGCAGATTTTCCATAAAAGGGAATTGGTTTGAAACTCAAATTAATTTTCGTTGTAAGAAAATGTGTAATTTGCCGCTTTTGGCATCATAAATTACAAATTTCGTAACACCAAAAAGTAATTTGAGTTTCAAACGAAGTCCATTTTATAGAACAGCTGCGTTAAAATGGAGGAAAGTCTGCTATTTCTGCATTAATTCATATTTAGACAAACTTTGTATATAAAATCTATAAAAATGTATTGCTGATCATCTATTTGTTACAAAGGGACACAAATTTTTCCCGCAACTACTGCTGATCCAACTAACGTTGTGCCTCGTCGATGAATTCCTATGACAGCTTTTATGAACTCACCTGCGGATCCACATCGGAGAGTTTAACCAGAGTACCCAGATTCTGTAAGAAATCCACGTATCGCAGCGACCCGAACCGATTCTTCAATATCTCCACCTCGGAATTGACCTGGCCCTCCCTTATGTACAACACGCCGATCTTATGGGTTTCGTACGGAGGTATGAGATCCAAAATCTTAACCGCCCTTTGAACGACGTCGCTAGAACCGACTATCAGGGGTCGTTCTGTATTATGTCCGAAATAGGCCGCGTGGTAAAGCTGCAGGAACACGAAACTAGGATTGATGCCGCTCCTGGGTACTTCCCTGGACCTGGTCGGTTGCCGGACGTGCTCCGATCTCGGCTTACGGTTTGCTGGGCTCATCACGGAGATCGTGTGCAGCCTGTCACGTTTCTGAGATTGGTTCGATTCGAGGGACGTGAGGCGTTCTACGCTGCCGCTGTTCTTCCGTTCCTTGGCTCGTTCTCTTGCCAAGTTCAGGTTGGCGTTGGAAGTGTTCTTCTCTAAGATAGAGGACGAAGAACTCTTCTGTATTTCTGAAGGAACAAAATTTTGGCTAATGATTTCTTAATATACAGGGTTACTAAAATAGAATACTAGACTTGTATAGTCATTATGATATCAGCTGCAACCGCATAAAAACATTTAACTAATAAATTCTACGGAATCCATAGGCGTCCAGAAAAATTTTGCCGTCTCGTCTATATATATTGTATTCCGAGCTATATTCCTATTTAGTTGACAATATTCTTTAATTTTTTGTAAATAATCTTCCCGAAGTGCAACTGTACGTCGTGATTCCATAATTACCATAAGCTTTTCAAGTTTTTTATGTTTAAAACCGCATTGTAATAAAATATGTCGTAAAGTATCTAAAGATTTATAATTATGTATAATCAGGATAATTGCTTAATTTATTTCGAATCATGTTTAAAGTAGGAACTTTATGTTCTTTATACATATTATAAATTGTGCGCCATATTACATCTCTGGTAAAATCGTCAATATAACGAGCGTTCAAATAAAAACGTGGTCAAAGTTGGCTCTGACACATTGGACGTAGGGAGTAGCTTATAGCGACCAACTTAACCTCATTTCTCAACGAGCTGTATAGCAGCTAACTTTATTTTAAAGAATAATCATGATAACAATAACAAACAATTAAAGGAAAGTGTCCCCCTCCTTGTTATAACAATAAATTAAAGCAGCTGCTGAAAGTGTCCCCCTCCTTGTTCCAAGCACTTTTCACATCTGTTCCTCAAAGAATTAAAGACATTTTCTAAGATGCTCGGGGTATTGTTAATTTCACGAATCTTGTCTATAAGTCGAGCCTGCAGACGGTTTAAATCAGGAATAGGCAGTTCAAAAATAGTGTTTTTAAGGTAAAGAAATCACACGGCGTAATGTCACATGACCTCGGTGGAAATTCATGTTCAGCATTGAGACTTATTAGTCGATTTTGGAAAACTTCCCTCAACATATTCATCGTCTCGCCTGCCGTATGTGCCCTTGCGCCATCTTGTTGAAAGTATAAGTTTGTAATTTCGTTTTCTTCCAGCTGCTTAACAAAAGGAGCGATAATTTCTTCTCTATACCTTTGCGCAGTAAGAGTACCATTAAAAAAATAGGTCCATAAATCTTCCTTCGATTGAGAGCACACCAAACTCCAATTTTTTGAGCGTGTAGAGGGCCCTCGACAAAAAAGTTATCTGGTTTTTCAGAAGACCACATTCTCATATTCTGTGAGTTTACGTAACCACTTAAATGAAACCAGGCTTCATCAGAAAAAAAGGTGATATTATGAAGTTCACCGTAGTTGTTTAAAAACCATTCACAAAATACAGCCCGTCGCGGAAAATAAACTTCGTGAAGTTCTTGCTGACAAGTTAAACGATAGGAGAACAAACGCAAATCTTTTTTTTAACACTGTGTGGCAGGTACCGACTGATACTCCCACCATTTGTGATAAAACACGTACAGAAGTTCTTGGCGCATTTTCCATTATTTGTTGGACATTTTCTTTTAATTCTTCAGTCCGCTTTTTAGGTCGGCCGCTTCCTTCTTTTCTTGTTACACTGCCCGTTTCACGAAAAACATTAACACAACGCTGAACTGCATTTTGAAAAATTTTGTACTCAACAACGCCGGGAAATTGATTTTGAAATTCTATGAAACAAAACTCAATAGAATACTTCCATATTCCATCAATCTTGCGTCCATTTCTAAAGTAGGACTCTATGATAAACACTTTTTGTTCTTGAGAAAACACCATTTTAAACGCTTTTTAAAACGAAAATATTCAAATTGATAGCGGCGATATAGCGCTTTGACAGATGACGTTTAAGTTCATTTGCTATACGCTACGCCTTACGTCCAAATTTTCACAACCAACTTGACCACGTTTTTATTTGAACGCTCGTTACTTTAATTTTATATTTTTCTGATTCCTCTTTGTACTGTATTTAATAACGTTCTTTAATTACGCGATAAATTGTCGTTTTTGATATCTTAGTTAATTCGCTAATCCGTTTCCTAATTTCTTTATCACATTGTTCACTATTTTCTCTTTTCAAACATTCATATATGGGGTGCCTCATTTTAATCGAATATCTCTGTTGCTAAGCCGAATAAAAAGAAAATGTTCAGACAAAAGTTATTCAGGACAAAGGGAGTCGCCTAACTGCATTAATAACTCTGACCTTGGTGTCAATGTTCAAGGTCATTTGAAGGTCAAAGGTATTTTTTTAAATGGGAAACCCTATTTTTGACGCCGGATTCGGAAAGAGCGGGAAATTTTATGTCCAGAATGTTAGTTTAACAATTTTTAGAGTGACCTTGAAAAGGTTAAATCAAGGTCAAATATCGAAAATTCGTCCGAAAGCTGTTTTTACAAATTCTTGGACAAGCACCCCAAAGGAAACAGAACTTACTACGTCCACGTCGTTGTTTCTGGGTAACGCTAAAAGTAAGATTAAGAACAGAAGTGAAATTTTTTATTTAATAAAACTGCTTCTAAATGATTTTCATATTTGACATGAAGGTCAAAAACCACCAAGAATTCGAAAAAAACAGCTTTTGGACGAATTTTCAATATTTGACCTTGATTTGATTTTGATTTTCACTCTAAAAATTGTTAAACTACCATTCTGGATGTAAAATTTCCCGCTGTTTCCGAATCCGGAAATAGGGTTTCTCATTTAAAAAACTACCTTTGACCTTCAAATGATCTTGAAAATTGACACCAAGGTCACAGTTGTTATTGCAGTTAGGTGACCCCCTTTGTCCTGAATAACTTTTGTCTGAACATTTTTTTTTATTCGACTTAGCAACAGAGATATTCAGGTGCATCGATTAAAATGAACCACCCGGTATATTTAAAATAATACATTGACTTTGTACGTGTAAAGCTTTGTTTTTAAACTCTGAGTTTGTTTCGACGCTTTCGACAAAAACCGGCTCGACTATTTGGGGATTTTCCCAGGTTATTTCGTTATCTTCCGTTTCAAAGGGTCTTCAGAAAGCCATGTTAAACTACCAGGTAATTACATATAATATTTATTTTAATGACTATTACCCTTTACTGGTTACGATATGAACAAATAAGAATATTAGCTAATAATTAATTATACATATTATACCAACAATAAATATACCACTCTAAGCACTGTTCTCTACTGCACTGGCAAAACCAAGTGAACCACATTCGACACCAAATTAATTATAAAATACCATGCAAAAAAATTATTTATGACCTAGTGGACCACCTACAGGTTTGCTTTGACGGCCAGCGCGCCGCCGTCGATTCTACATCAGGCGGACTGGTCTACCAATACCGGACTCGCCCAATGGTGATCATGGCTAAAGCATAGGAAAAAATTTCAAATGTGCAGACGGTCCTGTGCTTTAACATTCACAGGTTCCAATTGACATCGTAACAACTATAGTAATGATCAAAATAAGAAAATTTCATATAAATACAGAGTCTTTGACCACTGTTACTTCAGGATGAGATAAAGTAATTATAGATGAACAAAAAAGTTGTATATTACAGGGGCGTAAGATTAACAGTTAACAAAATACGAGTATTAATATTGGGAAGTTTCATCAAAACGTGACAACAGCGCTTAACCTAACGCTACACGCTGGTGCATACCACGGTGCACGCGGTAGACTTGTTCTACGGAAAAAATGTAAACAACTATTATTGTGAAACATTTAGTACATTTCAAGACAATTGTTTTCCAGTTTTTAAATAAATAAAATAAAATTTATCGATTTTGTAGTACGATGATAAGTGTTGTGCTTAAATTTTAGCTTGAATTTTAGTAATTATGAATCTCTTAGCACAGGAACTTAACTTTTAATCAAATTATGAATTTTTGATGCACGCATGACACCTTCGAATCCAATTTTCGCACACACGCTGGAAAACACTCAAGAAAATAGTGGTACACAAAAAACACTCAGACACAGTCCAATTCCAGATACCAACTGACTTGCGTATTGCTGGACAGCTTAGTACCTCGTGTGTGTGTACCTTCGCCGCGCCGTTGTCACATTGTCAGATATGAATTTTATCAAATTTTAAATTTATTACAACGCTAATTATTTTTTAAAGTTAAGCATAAGAAGTTCAAAAAAAGTGATAAACATTGTATTTTATGGTATTCTGTGCACGCAGTTATGTCAATATTCCTTAATTAATCGAACTTTTGTTAGAGACTGATAATTTTTTTCTTGGAAATGGTTGAGTTTAGGACCCATGTCATATAAGGTTTTTTTGTTTATTTTAATATATTCTATCGTCTGTTAAACTTAAGGCAGTCAAACTTCTAACACCCTGTATATGCCCTAAAATGATTCTTAAAAGAGTTACAGACTTTTAAATGGTGGAAAAAAGAATAGTTTAAAGTTTTTTAAATTGGTTATTTTGGCATAAAAATTTACGGTAAAATTGAAAAAAGACTATTCTTAAAAATAAATAAAACTTTAGAATACAGGTTAGGGCATGACGATTTTTTTGAATTTCTTTTTTCAAAAATGAGTAGTGTCAAAAAGTTGTGTTTTGGTTAACTATTCACAATTATATTTACAAGAACCGGCAATTATATTGGTTTACATTTCATGTAAAAATTGCAGTCAACTATCTTCTCATAAGAAGTTCCGTTCTATCATTATTTCTATTTTTTTTCGCCTATAATGTTAAAAATATATATAATACATTATACTATAAAATCGGCAAAAAAAAATGTATGCTACCTGTAAATTTTTTTTAACTAGCAATGCTGTGTGTGTAGCAAGCTACCTAAAGACTTTCGACGGAAGAATAATAAATGTACAAATCAATACCTGTTTAGACATAATATTTGAACCTTTAAAATACTTCTTCCAAAAACAAATTTGTTTCAAACAAAAAAGAGTGACTGCAAAATCTGCCCGTTTTTGCGTAGTGTGTAGCAAGAAGGGGGAAGGTTGTACAGAGGTCTCCGTGGGCTTAAATTGATCGTCATGAAAAATCTAGGTGAGCATAATTCGATTTTTCCAATATTTGCCCGACTTACCCCTACTTAAGGGGTGGAAACCACCCCTAAAACAAGAAAAATGAGAAAATAGTCGATAAATTCTTGGTAAAATTGGGGGAATTTCACATGGCAAGGGTAAAATCAGGAATGTCCTAAAAATGCTCATGATAAACCCACCCCCCGCGTGGGGGTAAAACAAAAGATCGAATTATGGGGCCCGTCTTTCGTATCATTTGTCGGGTAGTGGGGGAAACAAAGTACTTCATGAATTGGATATCATTCCCCGTCTGCTATCGGCAATAGGGGTGGTTTTACCCCCACGCGGGGGGTGTTTTTCACCTTGAGCATTTTTAGGAGAGCATTCTTGATGTTACCCTTGCCATGTGGAATTCCGCCAATTTTTACCAAGATTTTGGTGACCATTTTTTCTGTTTTCTTGTTTTAGGGGTGGTTTCCACACCTTCAGTAGGGGTAACTGATCAGAATCCGACAGAAGAACGAATTATGGGTGCATGTATTTCATATCATTTGGATTTATAAGGAAGAGTGGCACAAAAAAGGCGATTCATGAAGGGAACATCATTTGCCGCTGGTTTTCGGCAATAGGGGTGGTTTTACCCCGTTTTTCACCTTGAGCATATTTGGAAGAACATCCCTGATCTCTTCCTTGCCATTCAAATTTCCGCCAATTTTTACCAAGAATTGATCGACCATTTCCTCACGTTTCTTGTTTTAGGGGTTGTTTCTACCCCTTAAGTAGGGGTAAGTCGGACAAATATTGGAAAAATCGAATTATGCTCACCTAGATGTTTCATGACGATCAATTTAAGCCCACGGAGACCTCTGGACGACCTTCCCCGTTCCGTTCTTGCTACACACTACGCAAAAACGGCCGAAAAAATGGGGTTTTCTGCTTTTACTCTTTACCAAGGTAAATGTTTATAAATAAGCAAAAACCTTTCAAATTAGGATAATACACATCAAACGGCATATTTTTGGACCCCCTCATTTAAAAAAGTCGCAAAAAAAATTTTTTTCTCAAAATCGACACGCCCTAATATAGGTACGTGAAAATGTTATTTTGATCAATGCCCTCACCCTTGGAAGACCGGTACACTATATTTTTAACAGTCCGTATATTAGAAGTAAATCCTTACCAGAAAAATGTCGAGCGGGCCGAGGCGACGTCTGGGTGGGACTCTGCGGCGGCTTGCTGCTCAAAGGAATCAGACTGCCCACGTTGGGCAGATTGTTGGGTCTTTTTTGAAAATCAGGCTGGCCGCCTCCGGAAATCACGTTCGGAGACGGGGGAACCGTTTGGTAAAGCTTTGCGACAGCATTTGGGTCATTCGGTGGCGACGATCCCGGATAACTGTGACAGCTAAGCAGGGACGGGTGGTAGGAGGAGGTGAAGACCGTAGCCTGATAGGGTTTCTGAGGCTGGAGGGGGTCGCTAGATGGCGGCGTTGTACCTATAATAATATTTATCGCCTCTAAGTCAAAACAATTGCCTTAAAAACTAAACCATAAAAAACTCGTCTAAAATATAAAGACAACTCACGTAAAAAACATTTTAATGCATTTTAAAAACTTTTAAAATTTAGAGCACGCTTAAATAGTTAAAAATGTTAGGACTCTATAGCAAATAGGCAACCAGCAATACATTTTTATAGATTTTATTGCACAGTTTGTCTAAATATGAATTAGCAGACTTTCCCCCATTTTAACGCAGATTTTCTATAAAATGAACTTAGTTTGAATCCGAAATTACATTTTGGTGTAAAGACATTTGTAATTTACGATGTTCAAAAGTGCTAAATTACAAATTTCTTTGCAGCAAAAAGTAATTTGAGTTTCAAACTAAGTGTATTGTATAGAAAGTCTGCGTTAGAATGGAGGAAAGTCTGTTATTTGTGCATTAATTCATATTTAGACAAACTGTGTAATAAAATCTATAAAAATGTATTGCTGGTTGCCTATTTGCTATAACTCCTAAGACCATGACAATGAAAAATTCTCAAATAATCATCTCAATATGCAAATTTATGAAACACGTTCTTGAGTGGGATCTTTTTTCATTCTATTTTTTCAAATTAAAAAAAATTTTTTGGTATTTTCATTTTTTGCAGATAATGTATGCTATTAAACCAAATTTTATTACAGAAGTAAATTGCGATGACTAATTTATTTGCACTTCCGAGAAACTGGTAAAAAAATATTTTAAGTGTTTTAAAAATAAATAAATACAAAATAAAATAAATAAAAATTAGCCCCTTACCTAACCCGGCAATTTCTTCCGGAATCGCCTCACAGCTAACCCTCATGTCCTTGGAATACATCTTGTTCTTCTTGATGTTATCCTCATCCAGACTTTTACTCTCTTCTCCTTCCGCCACTGCCTTCTGGTGCAGAAACGGGTTCTTCCAACTGGCCGACATCTCCGGGCTAGAATTCGATCTCCGCACGGGATTCCTGGATTTAGTTCCGTCATCGTAGATGTATTCTAGTTCTTCTTCCAAGCTGTCCCTGGAGTTTTGACGGGATGGTGACGGTTTTGGAGAACCTGAAACGATTCGATCCGGGTACGTTTTATGAAAATCTATCGTATTCAGGTCTGGACAATGTGGCGGCTTATATAGAGTATTGGTGGCATTATTACCTGGTAAGCTACTGTTAGACGTTGACAATCCCCTTGCCTCATCTAGATTAGGCTGCTCCTCGGACGATGGCTGTCTTCTTAAGGGAGGTCTGAAACTGCTGGTGGATTCTGGATAGAGCGAAGGCATGAAGAGGGTGGAGAGCTCGTTTAACGGAAATTCGTACATGTTGTGGGTGTACGATATCTCGTTTTGTATCCTCATCACCCAAGACATATCGCCTGAGACAAAAGAATGGTTGTAATAATCCAACACTTCACCGCAGAAGAACCAAATTTGGTACATGATTTAGGTTTATTACTAGTCTTCTTTGACTATGACTAAAGTTAATTAAAGCACTACAATATAAGGTGTTCATTGGGGATGACTCACCCCTAAAATTGTACCAAACTTTTTTTTTCATTGACCGAATTGAAAAATAGTAATATTAATTCACAGCAGAATTTGATTTTAATTTTTTTTTACTATTGTTAAATTTTATGGTTTTCAAGAAAAACCGTATTAACGAATTACACAAAATTGTTTTTTATTTTTTTTTCTCGATAACGGTCGCAGATAAAAAAAAATCATAAGAGACCAAAAAGTTTCTCAACAATATATGAAATTCAATTTTGATTTTAGAATCTACCAACGGCGCACCGCACAAAAGTTCAGGGGAAGAAAAGGAGGCATGACCCCCGAAAAAATATCACTCTGTAGAATATCACGATCATTTTGCATGCCCAATGATGTATGCCCTACAGCGTAACCTATATTCCAAATTTGAGCTAAACATCTCAAAAACTGTTGGAGCTATAGAGAAAAAAATAAAAAGATCTTAAAATTTCAACACCCTGTAGATAGGTAATGAAGCGTTTGCGGACCTATGTTCAAACGAAATTTTAATTGTGAAATAAGCCAAAGAATTACCCTCTATACTATTCGATTGATTATTTAAAATAATGAAAAGTTGCCTTCGAATTTTTTTTTTACGTTTGTTTTTTAGACAGATACAAATTTATTTACCTTTTTATATTTTGAATTTAGCCCCTACGACACTGCCAGGACAAAGATAAAAAATCACGTCCGCTTTGTCGCACTCATGGTACCGAAGTTGTGGACAACTCGTCTGCTTATGACAAAGGTAGATTATTTTGTTCGCTATTGTCAATGCGCGTGCGTCAATAAACGTGCATTTCTTTATGCTCAATATTCATTGTTAATCTCAAAAAGGTAAATACACATTAATAAGGACTAATATTTTTCTTTTAGCCTAAAACGGATTTAAACGGATGCTAACTAACCCTCATATTCACCCCCAAAAATAATATTTCCGCGATAACTCGGGTTCTAATCAATATTTTGGAATGAAACAAAATGGAAATTACTTCTTATAAAAAAAAAAACATTTATGGGCTTATGTAATGCGACAGTTGAATGAACAGTATGACGATATTCCACCAAATAGAGATACGCCCTGGGAATGTATACAAAATATTTGGAACGCTATAGACGTGAATTATATACGACACCTTGTTACATCTATGCCAAACAGATTACAAGCCGTTATTGATTCGGATGGTAGTTGGACATATTATTAGACTGTTTTGTTTTTTCATTGTTTATAAAATGATGTCAAAATAAGTAAATATGTTCATAACATTCTCGGCCTTTAAATACTTCATTTCTGATAGATGTAAAATTTAAAAAAAACCTGTTTTTCTAAATATTTCGAAAATAATTTAAAATATTACACTGAGCTTTGGTATATTATAGTGGCAGTGTAATATCTTAAATCGTTTTTGAGATATTTAGAAAAAAAAACGATTTTAAATATCTTTCGACATCTATCTCAGAAAGGGAACATTTCCAGACCCATAATGTCATGAACTTATTTACTTATTTTCACTTCCAGAACACGTCCTTAAAATATTTCCCTTTCCTCCCGAAAATGTATAATTTATAATAAACTAGTTTACAATATTTTTTATTTTGTTGCCTTCATGACCTACCTACCTACTTTCTGCAGAATATGACACAAATTCTTATTTCAAAATATTAATTTTCTCAGGGACAAGAAAAATTATGTGGCAAGACAAAATAATTTCAAAACCTGTATACTCTTCTCTTTTTATAATGCATATACTTCAGGCCTGCAATTTTTTGTTAAAATATGACGCCCCTAATTATTGATGCCTCCCAAAATTCCTATCAATAGTCCACCGGCTCGCTCCTTTTGTAATGAACCTGTTTTTATTTTTTTGATTTTATTATGTCTGGATTTAAAAACATTTCTTTTTATTTTGGATTATTTTACCCCGGCGGCGAGAATTATTGATTTTTCTACATATATATCAAATATCCACTCGCGGGTCCGACCGGCTGATACCCCACTCTGACAAGCCGTTGGTCACGTGGAGGTCACACCACGACTGGTGTCAATCCGGTGGGGATTTGGGCAACAAAAGTCCTTGACATTCCCCGAAACCGACAGTTCGTAATTCGTATCCAGAACTCAATACCGAACAGACGTCCACCGCCAGCAAGAACTCTCCACCGAAGCCAGCCCAGAATAACCAGTGAACCTAGTAAGAATTATTTTCCTTATTATTATCCGTTCCAACCGGGTACAAGTCCGAAAAGATTTGTACACTTTAAGTGTGGAATTACTGTGGGCCCGAGAAGAATATTCTTGGTAACCCACACACAAATTCCACCGTCCGTCTCAACCCGCACGACAGTGCAATCGTTGGATTCGGCGTGTTAAACCCAATCCTGACGAAGCCGTCGTGTTTACTACAGCGTTGCTTGGTGTCCCGCACCTTGATGTACGCTGGGTAATAGGGGATATGTGAACCAAGACCTAGAGGTTCGGCGTGCCCACCCAATCTCCGGGTCGTTCCATATAGTATCCGTACGCTTCTCCCTGGTCGGCGTGTATACCCATCAGACCGAGAAGCGTTGTATACAGAGAGTCCGACACCATCGGCCACCAGGACGTATAAAGCTTAAAGGCTAGTACGAATTGTAAGGCGAGATACTTCGGATCCCGTTTCACCATCCTATCTTTCCGCCTTGCACCGCTTGGGCTTTCTTCGCTGGTTATTGCTATCGCTTACCGCTTACCGCATTCCGCTTACTAATTTTGCATTGCTTGCTAGGCCATTATACCGATATTTGACCGCCCGCCTGTTTAAAATAAGTCCGAAATAATTCCGAATAAATTTTGGTTTATTTTCAGAATCAGCGGGGACCAGTAAAAAACGTCTATAAATATTTTAATCAGACCGTCTAAAATCACCTTTTCCTTTGTACATAAAAACCGTCTACGATTGTAGAGTAATAAATATTTTATTTCGATCCCGTTTACAAATATTTATTTCTTTTCTAAGGTGATAAGTAAAATGGTAAAAAACCCAGAGTCATAACTTTTTAATTTTGTCTCTTTCACACTGAATTTGTATATAATTATTGTTAAGAAACTTGTAAATAATTTCAGTCGTTTAGTAGTGGGTAGGAATAAAAATTGACACTATATGTATTTGTAATAAGTATTAATATTTTCCCTGTGTGAATAAATCTAGTAAAACTTAATAGGTTTATTTCTTTCACCGTCGAGGTAAAACGATAACATTCCGAACCAGCAAAAACGCTGATATCGTTTTGTAGAGCTCCCGTTAAATTTCATATTTAAAATAAAACTACACTGAGAAAACTACTCTCTGCCGAACTCTCTGCCGTTTTCTCCTAAAAGAAATTCATTGACCCCTGGAATTTATTTTCTTCACTGTAGCTACCTGTGCACTTTACTCTAAACCGAGGGTAAGGGATACGTGGAGTTTCCCCCACGTCAAATTTAGGGAAACTGGCGCCCGAGATTAAAACCGACTATATAAGTTATTCACTAACATTACCGTTTAGAGTCCAGTCCGAGGAATAGAAGACCTTTCCGAAAAATTAAATTACAGGGGGTGTACACACCATAGTTAAAAGTAATAAAATTTACACCGAACGATCCATAGAGAGAGAACTGAGGAAAAGTGCGTCACACTTTAAAAGTAGTATGCCTTTTAGGTTGGAAACCTACATCTTGTGTCGAGTGTACATAATATTTAAGAACACCCTGTATATTATTTATTAACCCACAGAGAATGCACCGCCTAGGGCGGAAGACCCGAAAGAAAGGTAAAGTCCACGTCAGCGGACTTGCCTACCTTTCTAGTTCTGTAGTTAAAGTATGTTCACAAAAGTGCAAACAGACATATTTAGAAACGTTAAAACAGGTACCTGCTATTAAAACTATGCAATTAATTTCATAATAGTTTGTGATTTACAATTAAAAACTGACAAAATAGCTTTATATTTTAGAAGGCAATGAATCTACTCACCGGTAGGCCTCCTAACATATATCTCCGCCCATCCCTGACACCAACAGGCGCAGTTCTCCTTCTCACGTCGCTCGGTGCTGTCCAACTTCTGCAATTTAGACGAAACGATCTCCAGCTTATCGCCTATACGCTTCGCTTCCTCCATGGGGGAACTCACGGAAGTGTTATTATTGGATTTCTCGTTGGAGTTCTGACGAGAGGCCCAGCCGATCTCCGGTTCGGTCTCGTTGCTGCCACTGCGGGCAGTCTTCAGTTTGAGACTCTCCGTGTGGTTGTTGCAGAGAGTCCAGCACTTGTCGCACAGGCCGTGTTTCAGGACTTTCTGGGAGCAACCGCTAGTGGTCACGGTGACCAGTTTGTTGCCGATCAGCCAACACATGCTCTGGCCCCCGTTCAGCAGAAATTCTGCCGCCGGCAACCTGGAAGTAATAGTATGATTAGATTACACAGGCTAGTGTTCTTCGGCGAAATCTTTACCTCCTGGGAAGCGCGCTGCAAGGCGAGAAAGCGTATCTGGCCATCAGGTCTATGCAGGTCTCCGTCAGTTCCTCGTAGAAAGTCACGAGGGACTTGTCGGGGCTGGGCCTCTGCAACACGGGTTTATCCATCCTCATGGAGGATACCGCTGCGGTTCTACCTCTGGATCCCTGCTCGGTCAGGCTAGAGCTGCGCTTGCGGTCGGAACTGTCCTGGTTCAGGTCGCTGAGATTCTGGCGTTGGAAAATCGTCTTGCTTTCCTCGAAGGGGATGAGAACGTTCGTTTGCAAACTCTAAGGATTACACGTGTATCGTTTTTCAATGATTTATGTTAAAATGTGAAGAAATCAACATATTCGTGAAATAAATAAATGCAATTTACTTACGTTCGTAATAAACTTAACAAAATCCTTCCTGAATGGTAGGCGGCACTTCAAGAACCAAACGGCTATGACGTGATGCGCCAAGGATACAGTGTAATGGTTGTACTTGAAGGGGTTCGTGTAAGGAAGAGATATAGCGAACACCGCCATATATTGGTCCGCCACGAAGTTGGCAAAGACCATTGGTAGTTGGGTTAGAGCTGAAATCGATGTTTAAATATTTTTAAAAAATTAATGTTTTTCTCTAAGTCAAATGTCTTTGGAGATATCTTAGAAAATATGATTTTTTTTTTCCAATTTCAACAGTTCAATTTTCAAAAATTAATTGATTAATTCAAAATATATTATAGTGATACAATGAAAATTTAGACAGAATTTGAGAAATTCAAAAGTTACTAGGGACATTTGGTGCAAATTCAGTGTAAATTTGATGCATTCAAATTTAGAGTTACTAAGAGACATTTAGGAAAATTCAGGACTATAAAAAAATCCAGTACAAATTCTGGGAAATTCTGATTAATCCAAATATTTTATAGTGATACAATGAATATTTAGAGGGATTTAAAGCCAATTAGAGAAATCCAAAAGAATTCAAGGAATTACAGTGCAAATTCAGAAAAGTATTAGTGAATTTAAAAGGAATATATAGAACCTAAGAAGTATTAAAAGGAAATGGTGGAAATTTACATTAATTCAAAGGTAATTAGAGAAATTCAAGTTACATGTAATATTCGCTGCAAATCCAGTGCAAATTTAATATGTTCAAGAAACATCAATAGTGTTAAATAGATGAAAAGAAAATTTGGAAAAACTGATCTGCAGTTGGAGAAATTCAAGAGAATACATGGAAATTCAGTACAAATTCTGAGAAATTCTGATTAATCCAAAAATTTTATAGTGATACAATGAAAATTTAGAGGGATTTAAAGCCAATTAGAGAAATCCAAAAGAATTCAAGGAATTACAGTGCAAATTCAGAAAAATATTGGTGAATTTAAAAGGAATATGTATATAGAACCTAAGAAGTATTATAAGGAAATGGTGGAAATTTACATTAATTCAAAGGTAATTAGAGGAATTACATGTAATATTCAGTGCAAATCCAGTGCAAATTTAATATGTTCAAGAAACATCAATAGTGTTAAATGAATGAAAAGAAAATTTGGAAGAACTGATCAGCAGTTGGAGAAATTCAAGAAAATACATGGAAATTCAGTGCAAATTCTGGGAAAATTTGTTTAAGCCAAGAGAAATAAATAAAATTGAAAGGCTATTACAATGGCACAACATAAGAACTTTTTAAAGGTAATTCAAAAAATTCACTATATTCAGCATCAATTTACAGAAAATTTGAAGAATTTGAAAGAAATCTATACAAATAAGAAATTATTACGAGGATACAACGGAAATTTAGAGGAGTATGGGTTCAATATAGAAAATATGATTTTTTTTATTCCAATTTCAACAGTTCAATTCTCAAAAACTACTCTTTTCAGTGATTTTAATTTGAAATCCTGAATTCAAATTTTAACTGTTACCAATTCATCCTGAAACACCCTGTATAAATAAAAATAGACATTTAGAAAAAAACGATCACTACCGACGAATAATAATGAAAAAAATTAATAAAATACTCACTTGACAAAAACTCTAAAACCGGAATAGCGATATGTACGGTCGCCGAAATCTTCGACAAGGTCAGCAACACCTCGGCCAACAATTTCACCATAACCTCCCTCATTTCCAGGGTACATATCGTGAGGGCCGCTATGCAGTGCTTAGAACTCCTCGGCCCGATCGTGTTGGTACATTTCATCAAGCAACGGATCATCTTCTGCTGATGTATCTGGTCTATGTAATTGTGATAAGACGCCAAGTTCACTAGAACTAACAAAACCAAAGCATTCAGATCGGGCTTGCTGACCTTAACGTTCAGCGATTCCGGCAGATTCATGCTCCTATCGGTGATCTGCACAAAATATTTTTAAATTAATAAGTACGGATTTTCAGAACACGATTTTCGCTCACCATCGCACACAAAACGTCTACGAGTAAATCCAGTTCGTTGTTGCTGTTCTTCGACAGGATCAACGACTTGTTCTGCAGCACCTTCATCATTTCGCGAAGCACCAGACTCAGAACCTCCCAATCTAAAGATTAATTTTCACAAAAAAAAAAATTGTAGAACATCGACAAAACAAAAGAAAAAATATTGCGACTACCTCTCTCCATCTTCAAACAAGTGATAAATATCTTGAACGCTTTCCTAAGCGACACGTACGTCACGGTGCAAGGTGGTTGTTGTGTTATGGCTGGTGACTGCGGAGGCGGAGAACCCAAAGGACCGCGATCTGTACTGCGGTATATCACGCAGAGGTAAGCGCTGAATTTGACGGAGCTGCCTTCTGTGTAACCGAGGTGGTAGAGGGAGTCGGCCCTCATTTTTAGGAAGCAGTCAAATATCTGGTAAGGTAATAAAGAATTTAAACGAATTTGGGAGAAATGCAAAAGCTGTTGGAGAGTCAGTGCAAATTCAGGCAAAATTTGATAAATTGATAGAAATCAGATAGTGGTTAAAGATGAAATTCAGAGGAATTTAGAGACAAATAAGAAATTCAAGATAACTCAGAGAAATTCAGGCCAAATTCAGGTAAAGTTTGGTGAATTTAATATGATAACAGAATTCAAAGAATAGTACAAGAAACTTTAGAGGGGTTCAAATTGGAGAAATTCAACATGAGGGATCAAGTGAAATCAAAAGATATTAAAATAAAACAATAGCAATTTAGAGAAATTTAAACACAATTAAAGAAATCCAAAATAATTCAGGGAAGTTCAGTGCAAATTTAGCAAAAATTTGACAAATTTAAAAGAAATCTATAAAATTGAAGGAGTACGATGGAACATTATACGAGTATAAATTCAAAGGAATTTGAGAAATTCAGAAGTTACTAGCGACATTCGGTGCAAAATCAGTGCAAATTTGATGCATTCAAATTTGCAGTTACTAAAAGGCAGTTAGGAAAATTCAGGACTATTCGAAAAAATTCAGTACAAATTCTAGGATATTTTGATTAATTCAAAAAATATTATAGTGACACAATGAAAATTTAGAGAGAATTTGTGAAATTCAAAAGTTACTAGCGACATTTGGTGCAAATTCAGTGCAAATTTGATGCATTTAAATTTAGAGTTACTAAGAGGCAGTTAGGAATATTCAGGACTATTAAAAAAATTCAGTACAAATTCTAGGTTATTTTGATTAATTCAAAAAATATAGTGATACAATGAAAATTTAGAGAGAATTTGAGTAATTCAAAAGTTACTCGCGACATTCGGTGCAAATTCATTGCAAATTTCATGCATTCAAATTTAGAGTTCTGAAAGGCAGTTAGGAAAATTCAGGACTATTAAAAAAATTCAGTATGAATTCTGAGAAATTTTGATTAATTCAAAAAATATTATAGTGATACAATGGAAATTTAGAGAGAATTTGAGAAATTCAAAACTTACTAGCGACATTTGGTGCTAATTCAGAGCAAATTTGATGCATTCAAATTTAGTATTACTAAGAGGCAGTTAGGAAAATTCAGGACTATTAAAAAAATTCAGTACAAATTCTGGAAAAATTCTGATTAATCCAAAAATTTTATTATGATACAATGAAAATTTAGAGATTTAAAGACAATTGTAAATCCAAAAAAATTCAAGGAATTACAGTGCAAATTCATAAAAGAATTGGTGAATTTAAAAAGAATATATAGAACCTAAGGAGTATTACAAGGAAATGGTGGAAATTTACATTAATTCAAAGGTAATTAGAGAAATTCAAAAGTTACGTGCAATATTCAGTGCAAATTCAGTGCAAATTTGATAAATTCAAGAAACATCAATAGAATACAAAGTTTTATAAGGGTACAAAGAAAATTTAGAAGAACTGATCGGCAGTTGGAGAAATTCAAGAGAATACATGGAAATTCAGTGCAAATTCTGGAAAAATTTAATTTAAACCTAGAGAAATAAATAAAATTCAAGATTATTTAGCTACATTCGGCGTCAATTTAGAGAAATTTTATGAATTTGAAAGAAATGTATACAAATCAGAAAGTATTACAAGGGTACAACGAAAATTTAAAGGAATATGGTGGCAATATAAAAAAATTACACTGATATGTTCACACTTACCATGTATCGGACTTGCGGGCAGTTCTCAAAGATCTTCGGACGTCCATAATGCAGTTCTAGAAAACTGATAAGCATCTTGTATATCTTGATTGCATGTGATGATGGTAACTTATGTATCTTGTACGTAAAGACGCTGACCAGCCCGGCAACCAGACACTTAATATCACAGTGTTCGGACTCGTTTATTGGAATGTTGTCTGGCGGGTGATTCTCAAAGGGTCTGTGCAACAGCTAAAAATAATCAAAATAAATGGCATAGACTTACAAAAAAAACGGAGCAGTATGTACATAGAAATATCTTTAGGATAATTTTTTGTTTAATTTAATATACTGGAAGTGAAGTATGTTACTTCATCTGCGTAAAAACATACAAAATTTATATCTCATTTATACAAATATTTGATGCATTGTTGCCAAAGCTACTCCAAACTCAGGAATTTCAATTTTTACGTTTTTGCACTCAAAAAACTGTACACCAGAGGAAAAACTCAGATTGGCATCACAAACAATTTTCGCATCTTTCCATTCAAACAAATCTTCTAAAACTATCTAAAAACATTTTGATGTTTTTTCACTCAAAAAATTCTTAGAACTGGAGGAAAAGTTCTTTAATTGGCATTGGAAAAAGTTTTGTTTTTCTACTCAAAAAATTCTTAGAACTATAGAAAAAATTGGAATATGGAACAATTTTGACGTTTTTCCACTCAAAATAAATAATAAATAAAAAAAGAAACAAAACTGACATCATGAACAATTTTCACATTTTTCCACTCAAAAAATCCTTAGAACTGGAGGGAAAATTGGCATCACAAACAATTTTGATATTTTTCCACTCAAAAAATCCTTAGAACTAGAGGAAAAATTCTCACTACGAATAATTTTAATATTTTTTTCATTATAAAATTCATTACCGAGGGAGGAAAAATACAAAAATTGTCAAGTATGATTTTCAGGATTTTAAACTAAAAAAATCCTTAGAACTAGAGGAAAAATTCTCACTACAAAATATTTTGATGTTTTTTCATTAAAAAATTCCATACAGCTGGAGGAAAAATTAAAAAATTGTAATCAAAAATGATTTTGAGGTTTTTAAACTCAAAAAATCCTTAGAACTAGAGGAAAAACTCAAATTTTTATCACGAAGAATTTTTAAATTTTTCCATTCAAAAAATCCTTAGAAAATTTTTAACACAGTTTTGAACTTTTTTCTTTCAAAAAATTCCGAACTGCAGAAAAAATTTGCCAACTTGGCATTATGAACAATTTCGATGTTTTTCCATTAAAAAAATCCTTAGAACTAGAAGAAAAGTCCTCATTATGAACATTTTTGACATTTTTCCATAAAAAAAACTTCTTTCCGCGGAGGAAAAATTAAAAAATTGGCATCAAAAACAATTTTCAGGTTTTTCCACTCAAAAATGCCTTAAAACTAGAGAAAAAAATCTCACTACAAACAATTTTGATGTTTTTTCATTAAAAAATTCATTACAGCTGGGGGAAAAATTCAAAAATTGTAATCAAGAATGATTTTGAAGTTTTTAAACTCAAAAACTCCTTTGAACTAGAAGAAAAATTAACAAATTTTCGTCATGAACAATTTTTAAATTTTTCCATGCAAATCATCCTTAGAACTAGAGGAATAATTTTAATATTTTTAACACAATTTTGACCTTTTTTCCTTTCAAAAAACTCAGAACTGCGGAAAAAATTTGCCAGTTAGCATTATGAACAATTTCGATGTTTTTCTATTAAAAAAAATCTTAGAATTAGAGGAAAAATCCTCAGTACGAACATTTTTTTTAAGATTTTTCATAAAAGACTTCCTACACGTGGAGGAAAAATAAAAAAATTGGCATTAGAATAATTTTGAGATTTTTCCACAAAAAAAAGCTTTAGAGCTGGAGGATATATTTGTAAATTTTCATTGTGGACAATTGTGACATCCTTTTACTCAAAAAATCTCTAAAACTACAGGAAAAATTCATAAATTGAGAAATAAGAAAAAATTGTCATTAGGAGCAACAATACAATTTTACAGTTAAAACATTTTTAGAACTGGAAGAAAACAATTTTGACATTCCACTCAAAAAATCTGTGGAAGTGGAAGAAAAATTCGCAAGGTGCGATCATAAAAAAAACTTACAGCTGGAGGACAAAATGTTCATTACAAACAATTTTCATGATTTTTTTAAAGCTGGGAGAAAAATTTACAAATTGGCATCACAATTTTGAAGTTTTTCCATTCAAAAACTCTAGCATTCTAGGCAGAATTTGTAAATTTTCATCACAATAAATTTTGACGTTTTTGCACCCAAAAAATCCTTACAACTGAAGGAAAAGTTATCATTACGAACAATTTGAGTTTTCTTTCAAAAATCCTTAATAGTAGAAGAAAAATTCACAAACTGACATCACAATGTTGTTGTGCTCGGGCATACGGCATGTAACAATTTATTCAATTCGAACATAACCCATTACTCCGGTTATATTGTAAGTTATATCGAAAAAAATACCCATTTACTAGTTATTAAAGAATATTAAGCAGCTGAAGACGAGAATATTTAATTTGGTACGCAGAAATGCCCCATTACATTAACATAGCTGTTGTTTATTAATTTTTTTAACCAAGCGATTTATTGGACAATGTTATTTTTACTTACTCTTTCCAAAATGTCCAAGATTTCCAAGCACTTCTTCGTTTCGCATTCCATACACAAGTCTATCAGCAGTTTCGCCACAGAAGACCTAACGATGATGTCTGTAGAATGCACGATATTGACCATGTGAGGTATAACTATTCTATCTATAAGTTCGTCTTCGTACTGCCTTCTACAAGAATTTTATTAGATTTCGTGATCGGATCGCGGACCACCACCCACCTGTTCAATTTTATAACGTTCGACAGAATGTCCAAAACTTTCAGTCGAATATTAGTCCTGCCCTCAGGTTTGAAGTACTTGTGCAGCAAATTGTACAGATTCGTCAGCCATAGGTGCTCCGTCGGAACGATGTCCTGAGACAGGAACGACAGAAGCCGTAAAATTGAGGTTTCCGGGCGGTCAATCCAACATTCCTCGATGACATCGAAGAATTGCTTCACAGAACCGTTGTAGTTCCCGACTTCCAGTAGGGTTTCTATTATGCTGAGCGTTTCGTGTAAAGGGGAGACTATAAGCTTGTGCGGTAGGCTATTCGAGGTCAGATCTGAAAAAAAAATAAACGAGCAGTTCGAAAGCCTGCAAAATGTTTTAGTAAAATAACACCGGCCCACAAAAAAAAAGTGGTCTGTAACTTACACCCCCTAAATTTTGAGTAATTGGCAAAAAATAGTGAAAAATCGCCGTAAATCACTTTAGTCAGTTCAAAAACATTCGAAAAAATTTGTGCACTCAATCCAAATCGGAAGCCTTTTAGCTGCCGCTGCTTTTTATGTATTTTGATACATTGACTTCGAGTCTGAAGTCTATTAGCTGTATCCCCCACAAATTTTGCAAAAAATTTGCTGAAAATGGCAAAAAATCATATTAATAAGAGTGAGAAAACTCTTATGGGATAGTAGAGATAGGAAAAATCACTAAGATTGGCCAACGAGAACGGAGTTTCATCCAGGATCGAGGAACATCATACATATACCACTGATTGAGCTTTCAAAAATTCTACTACCACCTCTTCATATCAAGCATGATCTCATGAAGCAGTTTGTCAAAGCTTTAGACAAAGACAGTGACCATGTTTTAATTGCCAGTGTTGCGAGAAACAACTACTCCAAGGGCTATATGCCCCTACGGGCACTGAATTATACTCGCAACACCTAGTGTAACAGCTAGGATCGTTCGTCAGTTTAACCCACCAGGCACATACTGGTTTCAGACTTATTGGTCCTCATCAGTGTGTCATAGATGCGACAACCGACGAACAATCCAGCTGTTTTACGTCGTATCGTCACAATAAGGAAATACATTGTACGCGGGAGCACAGCACTACAGATGGAGCCATTTGCGCTCCCGCGTACGAAAACAGTGACCATTTTCAATATTTAGGAGAAGTTTCCAGAGATAAGTGATGCGAAATTGAAAGAAGGTATTTTTGATCAACCTCAAATTCGTACTCTTTTTCGAAATTTATTAATAATAAGGATAAATGACACAAAAAAAGCAGCACGGCAAAGTAAGAATACCTCTCGGAACTTTTTAGGAAATGAGAAGCGTGGGGATTATGAAAATTTGGTTGAAGAGATGTTGAAAAATTTCAAACAGTTAGGTTGCTTAATGAGTCTTAAATTGTACTTGGAGACTACAGTGAAGAACAAAGAGAAAGATTCCATCAATATATAAGTAAAATGGAGAATAAATACCAAGGAAGATGAAATATCAACATAATGGCACACTTCTGTTGGACACTAAAGACAGAAACGAATCAGAATAGACGGAAGAGAAACAGAAACCCTCTGCATAGTTCATTCGAAAAGAAAAGAGTTCACTACAAGAGAAGGAAAGTGTAAGAGCAACATCAAAGAAAGCCTGGTCCGAGTCAGTCGAATTTATTTGGAAGTAATTCATATCCATGACATTTATTTAAGATTTTTTGGGATTCACAATTTCCATTTTTTTTGTGATATTTTGCGGTTTTTGCAAAATTTTTTGGTAATGAGGCGCAACAGACTAAATTCAAATTCGACTCGATAAAATTTATGAGAAAAACACTTGATCCAATCTAGAAAAACCTATTTCTAAGTTTTCTCACTCTCATTAATAAGATTTTTTGTTATTTTCAGTTATTTTTTGCGTTTTTTTTTTGCAAAATCTGTGGGAGAATACAGCCAATAGACTTCAAGATCGACTTCAGCGTATCAAAATACATAAGAAACACACTTGATCGAGGTCAGAAAAGACATGAGTTTTGACGATTTTTCTCTATTTTTGGTGATTTTTCGCTATTATTTCGCAAGTTTGACAAAGTCTGTGGAGGGAGTGCAGCTTAAAAGACTTCAGATTTGGATTCAGGACATCAAACTACATAAGAAACCTACTTGATCGAGTTCCGAACAAATTTTTTTGAATTTTTTTGGGCTCACTAACGTGATTTTCGAAGAGTGATATTGATTGTAACAGCTTGATCTATAGTTCTCGTGTTTATTTTTAAAAAAATTTCATATGCTAGCTTAGGTAAAATCAAGCTATGATTTAAAACTAGATATGGTATGCAGGTAAGCAGAATGTCCCAAAAAAAAACGTCAAAGTATACTCTTCCAAACAGAATATCTTGTATTTCATTCCATTTTTGGAAGTTCTGAAAAAAAGCAACTTTCAAATAGGTCTATTATAGCTAGAATGTAAAGGGTGGATCAAATTCAACATTTTTCTCCTTTTTTCAGAAAATATAAATAAAAGGCAGTTTAGATGATCCACAAATTTAAAAACGTAATCGTGTATAAAAAATTAATTTGCGCTATAAATTTGAGATACTGAGTTTTAATTGAAGTTGGCTAGGGCTACGTAGAGATTTTTAATTAAAAAATCCTTAAAATGACTGCGAAAAATTGCATACAAAAAAAAATTGTAGCAAGCCATAGACTGCTTGGATCATCATAAGTGTTCCAACAAATACATCTAGAAGGCCTCTAAATACAAAAGAAAATTTATTCTATTCATGGGTCCTGAGAAAATTTTAGTGGGATGCCCCAGTTATTAATGGACCACTCTGTATATATGGGATGGAAGTAAAAATCACAAATAATTTCAATTAAAAAAAATCTTTTAAACAAAACAAGTTTAGGTGGTTACTGTTAAACACTGATCTATATGTAGGGGTATTTGCAGTCATTAATATCTTACAGGGTGGTCAAAAAACTAGTACCTCAATAACAGTGGTTTTAAATGAAAATGAATAATGCTGCTTATAGTTTTTTTAGCAATAGTGCTTTTTTCATATTGAAATTATTTTATTTTTAGGTCGACACTACATTAATAAAATTAAATACAGGGTGTCCCACAAGGAACTGCATCAATTGATATTTAGGAAAGTACTGCTTCGAAAAATTTGAAAATTCGGCAACATAGCAATGTTCCTGAGGCGAACACAACTAAAATATCTAGAACTCTCCAGCACTTCCAGTTATACCGGAAGTTGCCACCAACTTCGTTATTTTAAATGGGACACCCTATATATTATTGCATTTTCGTATTCTGCGTGAAATTCGAGGGTCACTTTATTAAATATTCCATATACCTAGTTACAGGTTTTGAGATATTATTTTTTAAAGAAAAAATTTGACAGATGCAAGGGTCCGCGGAGATGTTAGTAACTCGTTTCAGGAGCGTGATATCAAACGGATTTTTGGTACATGTAAAAGGCATAGGTAACACTAAATTTTGGTATACCAACAAATTAAAACATTTAATACTAGGTGTTTCATTTTTGCTGCTACATTTTGATAACTTCTAACAGCTATAACTTTGTTAACTTAAAAGGAACACCCTATATTTTTTTACTCTGTCGTATGCAGATTGAAATTTCCTTTCAAGCCATATAAGCATTGGTAGAGTTGCCGTTACTACTTTTAGAGATATTTGCATTTTTCTATTTTTTTTGACAGTTTTTTCATATCAGACCTGCTGTCAAATTGGCCATGACCAGAAACACTCCAAAAACAATTGAAATAACATGACATTTGTCACGTTAGTTGTCAAATTATTGTTGTCTGAATAGTTTTACTGATTTTTTCCATAAATAATACATAAATTGAAATAATTCTCATAAGTATAATTTAAACGATACCCAGGCATTTTTATTTTTTTCAGCAAAAACTATTACAGACGTAACAATAATTTAACAAATGTCAAATTATTTGAATTGTTTTGGAGTGTTTCTGGTCATGGCCAATTTGACAACATGTCTGATACGAGAAAAGAGAAAAATAGAAAATTGTAAATATCTCTAAAAGTAGTAACGGCAACCCTAACAATGCTTATATGTTTGTAATATTCATAATTATATATTTTATAAAAGCGATTTAATTTTAAAGAAAATAAAAAAAAGAAAACATACCAATGTGTCGTATAATGTGAGTAACGATTTGCAGCAAAATGGACCAAGCTGGGTCCTGCAATATTGACCCGTAATTAGTAACTAGCTGTTGAAGTCCCAAAATAACCTCATAAGCCACGGCTGCTTGATTACACTTAATAGCCTGAAAAATAATAGTAATAAAAAAAACGTTCATTAGATTTCAGATTATATGAATTATTTAATGGGCGTTAGGTTATTTACCTGTAAAAATGAAGGCAGCACTGAACTAGGTGGACAGTGCAAGTTGGCAAGGGGTGTATGGCCCCATAAAGCCATATGGATGAAGAATACGGCCCCTCTTAACAAATCAGTATCCGATCTTAAGGCCGGTTCTTGCAAGATCCGACACATCGTGTACAAAGCCGAATGACCTAGGTGAGTTCCTAGCAGGGTTTTCATAATCTAGAAATCAAAAGGTTATTTTTTTTACTTATTAACCTAACATTTAAATCCAAAACAGTTATTCACACTAAAAAATTTATTATTCACTTACCTTCCAACTGGAGGCACAATAGTCCTCAATGTTTACAGTGCGACACAGAACACCAATAAACTTCGGCAAAGATTCAGTGGACATATTACTGTAGGCCACAATGGTGGACATGATTTGCAGGCAAGACATCACGGTTTTATAATTGCTCGTGCTGCAGCACAAAACGCAAATATACCTAGAAAAAACATTGGTTCAATCAAAAAACAAAGCAAAATAATTTCATAAGTAAGCTATGGTTTTTAACTTGCAATTGTTTTAAAAACATTGATGTAATGGCCTATTTGATCCGAATATTTACTTGTCCTACACTTTTGAAACTTACTGTATAAATCCTGTGATGATATCGTCATCTAAGTAAGCTGCATTAAACTTAATAACATTGTCAATCATAGCTAAATACTCCTCTATCTTTCCCGCCTTTGATATATCAGGAAACCAATTCAGTAGGAAGGGACCAACTTCCACATCAAAGTAAACAACGTACTTTCCATTCGACGTCAGTGTATTCAGCAAGTCCAGTCTTTGTCCAACATCCTCAGGGTGGTCGTGATTTTTTATAAAGCGAAAAAACTGAGCTCGCATTTCTCTCAGATTGTCGCTCTGACCTCTTATGAGGTTGTGCAGGAAAGAGAATGCTGCGTGTCGAGTTTCGATGGAATTTTCCCTTCCGAACATGTCCTCTATCAGGCTCCATAGTTTCTCTACAGCATTCTAAGTACAACATTTTTAATATACAGCATTTATATCGTAATATAACACCTACCTCTTCTAGCCGGTTCTCAGCTACCTTATAGCTGAGGTCTCTCAAGATTTTTGTCCTAACTGTAACTGGGGAATCTTTTCCCAAGTCACGAAGTAGATCCTTACTTATAATAAATTCTCCTCGCACAGGAACACTAGCTACGAAAAGATAAATATGTTTACTATGTTATCTATAAAAAATAAAAAAGTGTCTTTAATTTACCTGATTGACCTTTGCTTGTTTTAAACATAGACTTCAGTCTGTCTGGTATACTCTTGTCTTTAGAGCCCATGCTGGCGTTTGAAACTTCAAAACGCCGGAATCTCTTTCTAAAATGATAAAAAATTCAACAAAAACATAGTTCCATAGTTGACAAACCTAACCTCTAATCTCTACACTCTAATACATATTTCGCCAGAACCGGACTAGGCTTTTATGCTCTTATTTTTGTTCCAATATTCAGAATAGGCAGCATAAATTAAAATTCATTTGGAATTTCGTATTCATCTCATATTTTTTGTGTAATTTTAGTTAATTAAAGAACCAGGGGTGGTGTACGGGAAAAATTAAAAGATAAAAATGTCTATAATTATAAAAACAATGGATTTGAATCATAGGCATTCCTTTGCTTTGTTATTTGCATTTCATGTTTTTTTAATTAAAATTTAAGTTTAAACGGAACATTTTTCAGCATTATTTTTAATATTAATGAAGGCGTTTAGTTAACAAAATTGGTGAAATGGTCTAATATTATTTATAAAAGACGCAAATACTATTTTTAAGGTATTTTCCTTTTTTCATAAAGATTTTCATAAAGATCTATAAAATTGCATCCTTTTCTTTCGTTTTTGATTTAGAAGATTTTAATATAGTATATTAGTTACTTTGTATATCACACTTGGTATTTTATTTTTTTGCTAGGCGTTTGACATAAATACACTCAAATTTAGTAGTGTCAATGTGGCATTTATAGCATTTCTTCATAAAATTTCCGTTTAGTTTTCCTAAATCTTGTGATAAAAATGTCGCTGTGCGAATTTCACCCCAATTATCAAACAGGAAACGATTCGGCATCCGAGTCTTCCCTGAAGAAAACCAATTTGCTTCTAAAAGACGAGTTACACTGGGGTCAGTCTTACAGGAGTTACAAAAAGAAAGAAAAGGAAGTGGCAATACCACCAAAGAAATCTCCTATTGACATACCTTTTAAACTTTGTCGTGAACTTCAGAGACAAGAGCAACAAAAGAGAAAGGGTTCTGCTTCGAGTAAAAAGCCTAAAAAGTCCACTGCTAAATCAAAATCGGAAAAACAACCTAGTCTATTGGAGAAAAGCGTAATGACTCAAAATCAATACATGGAGTACCTGTCCACCCCGAGAAAAGTAGAAGTACCTCCCCCTCCACAAAAAAAGAAACCCCCTTGTGAGTTGGAACCTTGCCCCCCGAGGTTCGTCCAACTAGCTGTGCCCAATAAGAGAAGGGTATACGAAAATTGGAAAGCCTATCACGAGATGTTACCCACGGAAGTGATAGTAAGGTACGAGCAAATGCTGCATACAGACAAAAACCTGGAACCCAGGGAGGCTCGCTACTATTACAAGAGGCTTGACAAAAAGAAAAGGAAAGAACTGAAGAAGAAGCGGATGCTTCGCAAGAAGAAACAAGCAGAGAAAGAAAAAGGCGACAAGGCTTGGTTGAAGGAACAGGTAAATCTTACCACGGACGCCATTATGAAATATATAAAGGAAGAACCCCTGTTTACGTTGAATTTCAAACAACTGATGCTCTCGGACGCCATTTTAGATCAACTCGAAAAGAGTAAGGTGATGAAGAAACCTAACAGGAAGACGAAGAATCACTATAAAAGGACCCTTGTCGAAGTATCCGACAAACTCGCTGTTTGGATGGACACTTTGATTAGATTCGTGGACATCCAAGCAGTCGACAACGACGAAGATATCCCTCCATTAACCATATCATCACTAGAAGAAGAGGAGGAGGGAGAAGAGGAGGAGGGAGCAGAGGAGGAAGGAGAAGAGGAGGAGGGAGAAGAGGAGGAAATGGAAAGCTCGGCAGAGTCCCAACCTCAAATATTATTCCAAGAGAAGTTCTGGATCGAAGGCGAGGAAGGAGACTGGGGCGCCGATATGGACATTAGCGGCAAACAATTGATAAGCGACTCCTTCAGCAAAAAGAAAGGGGGTAAGAAAGACGATTCATTGGACATGAATCTACTGGACCAACTTATAAGCATCCTTGAAACTTCCCCGGACGAGTTGTTGCAGTCGTTTGTGAACGAAAACCTGATGCCGTTAGTGACGTACGCGGATGTGTTGGACAGGTTGAGAACGCTGCTCTTTGAGGGTCCCAGTACGACGCCGAAGAAGAAACCATTGGAGGAAGTTTTGGAGGACTGGGCGAAAAAGAACGATTCTAAGAAAGTTGACGCAAAGATGTTGAAAGAAATCCATAACGCCGCCGAATTGCTGGGTGAATGGTGGGCAGGTAAAATGAGTAGATCAATAAGAAGTAACACAAATAATAACATGATTTTAAATTTTTCTCTCTTTATTGGGTAATTTACCACCTGAAAAAAAAAATCATGTAGTGAAAATGTTAGAAATCTCTTAGAGAATGCAAATTAATAATTATTAAAGTTTGGCGCCCAAAATAGATGTTTTAAACGGGTGTTTGCTGTCGCGCTAACAGGGCATGACATAAATAAATTACGATTTTTTAATGGCTTTTAAAAAACTTTTTGTAATTTAATTATTTTTAATACGATGGACCAGCAATCTTCAATTCGCAGAGTTAGGGAATGCATAACATTAGAAGTAGCTCATGTTGAACCAACATACCAAATTATGTAATAAAAATCATATTTAACAAAAATAGTTTTTTCGAATTCGATTCAGTGACCCCAAAAATATAGATTCGTTGATTACACTTCATTCCTAAACGTAAAAAAGTGTAATCTTAGCAATTTGCGCTACTTTTTTGAGGTTAGGCACGAACTCTGACTAGTTGAAGTTATATTGATATCAAAATTGGTTTCAGCGATCCCGAAAACATAAATTGTGGTGGTTAGACTATGTTACTCATCGTAGAAACATATTATTTCGACGATTTGAAGTATTTTTAAGGTTAGGGACGAACAGTGACCATATGGGTTTTAATGAATATTGAATTCGAAATCAGAAACCCCAAAAACGTACAGATATATATTCAGTCTACAATACAGTATTTTTATGTTTCTTATCTATCAATATTGCTCATTAAACAGAATTTTCCATGATTGCGGACGCCATATTGGAACCGCCATGACAGCTTTCGATAGAGTTTTTAAATATGAAACTTTTGACACGTCGAACGTCAATATTGATGCATTTTTATTCTGGGCAGCCCACTGTGCCCGTTGACGTGAAACGCCCGAGGAATATTCTTTTATATCCCTTTTTGTAAGTTTTAAGCACATTAGTGTATCTATTTTACGAAACACGTTTTGGCTGTACTTAAATACTTCTAAATCCTTATAAAAATGAGTCAATTTGAAGTTGTTCATTTCTATAGTATCTATGTAAATAGTAAACAAGGGTCAAATTCGATCTGTACAATTTCAACTACGACAATTTGTTGCGGGTTGCCTAAATATGTGACGTCACACTAAAAGAGTCTATTGTGTATTGTGCTACAGTTAGTCCGTCCCTGTCAAACCAGATAAGTCAAATTGTTTTCATGGGTTTAAGAAGTCTTATCTGTTGTCCATCGTATTAAAAAATAATTAAATTACACAAAGTATCTGTATCTCCTTAGGGGAGCCTTCTAGGGAAAATTTTTATAGGAACTTGTCATGTTATCTTAACGTCCCCTGTATAAATCCGAGGGATTGCCCACATATTCTGGGACAACCGGTATATTTTTTTCTCCCTGAAATACCACACGTTGTAAATGAAGCAATTCCATTTATTTTCTTATTTTAAATTCAATTTTGAACTGAGAAGAGGCAAGTTAGAGTAGGTACGTTTTGTTTCAGTATGAATTCTGTTTTTCCAACTAATTTCGTCTTCTGAAAGCCATCATCACGAAAAATTAAAGTCGTATAGTTGAGTCTAGAGCTACATTTAACTCTTTAATTAATTTTAAAATTTAGACAGTCTAATATGTGACTTTTAAAGTACCCTGATAACTAGTTGGGAAAATAACAAATTTTTGTACTGAAACAAAAAGGATTCCTTTCTTCTTTACAGTTTAATCAAATTCAGTATTAAAAACAGAAATTTCGTTATAAGTCGAAAATTAAGTTTATAACACCCCGGATTTCTTTTTCACCATGTAAACGCGATACAAAGTGACCCATCTTTAGATTTTTCATTTTCCGTCGTTCAAACTAATACTCATCTTATTATATGTACGATCCACTCTGTATAAAATAAACAGCTTGAAGGCAAGGCTGACCCCAATACATTTTATCCCGCTTTATTTCTTTAGTTACAGAGGAGGAGCTTTTCGAAAAGCAAGGAGTTGCGCCACTGAAGACTATGAAATTGGATATTCTTAGTGAAGGTAAAATTTTCTGAATAGACTGAATTTTCGACACCTTTGGCGACGTGTTGAAATTATTTTTCGCATCGTAGATAGCTTTTAGGAACGCGTGAGTCATGGATTGTAACAATAAAAGTATAAAGTCGTTCTTTTTTGCCTAAAATTGCTTGGAAAGAAATCATGGTTTAATTACGCGATAGATAGTTGCATTGTTGAAAACAATGGAAGCGAAGAGACTGTGAGATGCCGTGTAGAAATGGTTATATTTTCAATTTTCGTGCTACATTACAGTGTCCCAATTTATAGGCCATGATAAGCCATGATAAGTAAAAAACAAATGCTCAAATATTTTTGCTAAGAACGCNCAAATTTTTGTACTGAAACAAAAAGGATTCCTTTCTTCTTTACAGTTTAATCAAATTCAGTATTAAAAACAGAAATTTCGTTATAAGTCGAAAATTAAGTTTATAACACCCCGGATTTCTTTTTCACCATGTAAACGCGATACAAAGTGACCCATCTTTAGATTTTTCATTTTCCGTCGTTCAAACTAATACTGATCTTATTATATGTACGATCCACTCTGTATAAAATAAACAGCTTGAAGGCAAGGCTGACCCCAATACATTTTATCCCGCTTTATTTCTTTAGTTACAGAGGAGGAGCTTTTCGAAAAGCAAGGAGTTGCGCCACTGAAGGCTATGAAATTGGATAGTGAAGGTAAAATTTTCTGAATAGACTGAATTTTCGACACCTTTGGCGACGTGTTGAAATTATTTTTCGCATCGTAGATAGCTTTTAGGAACGCGTGAGTCATGGATTGTAACAATAAAAGTATAAA